GCAGTATATTTAACATCCCAACATCACAGCTTTGTGTCTTAAGTTTATGCCTTGCTTTCAGTCATTGACCATGCAATGGCATCCATGCTTTTATCTGAAGTATTCCTGGCTTAAGCTCTACAACTTTCTTCAACTTCATGGCGCTCTTCGTGTACAATATTTGGGTTCATTTATGTACACAAAATATATGTCATTGCCGAAAGGTTTAAGATTCCATGCGATTCATTCCGCTGAATCAACGCAAACATAACTCAATGTGTCACCTCATTCGATGCCATATGCACCATATGCACATGGTACATACTCGTTTACATATACATACATATTTACATATATTTGTGTTTCAACGAACACAACAAAATTTGCCTCGATTGCAATTTACTCGTAATTTAAATTCAATTTTTGTTTTCCTTCGGCTGCTTTTACTTCTTTCTTTCTTTTTGTTGTTGTTTCGTTGAACCTGAGGTTCAGAGGCTCAGTGGAATGTAAACAAAAATGTACAAACATAAATTAATGTAATCAAGAATAAAGGCAATAATAAAGAATTAAAACTTGACTCAATTAGTGGCACTGGCTGCCTGCCTGCGTGCCTGGATTCGGTGCAGGCCATGACAAATGTTGGTCAAGTGGTTCGTGGAAGGAGGAGGTGGACTGTGCGAATGACAGAGAAGAGGTTAAGCCCCCAGGGCACCAGCTGAGTCCACACTGAGTCAGAGCCAAACACGAGCAGAAGAATAGTTTAAGCCAACTGAGTGGGGGGTGGGATAATGATTCATAAGGGAGTGTTAATAATGGTAGGCACGATTATGGGATATGTTAATGGGGAAATTAAAAAGCTTATAAAATTAAAGAATTGAATACAAATAAAAATATAATAAAGGAAGTCAGAAAGTTAAACGTTTATGATGAGAGTTGAGTTGCTGAGTTTAAACTGATTTAGAAAAGCAATAAATAAAGGATATTACTGCAGTAAAACTCTGTTGAATATCTATATATATGTTCAATGGAATATAGATCCCAGCTTAAACTTCCCTTAAATTCCTTTAAAGATCTTCAAGTTTGCAATTAGACGATTTACATGTTCCAGTCATTGATTTGGAACCAACATCCCCAAAGATTCTGCATTATCTTCACAACAAACAAACGTTAAATCAAAATAAATAAAAGATAACATTACACATCATAAATTCTTATGGCTATGTACCATGTACATAAATCTTATCCCCTATATTGTCACACATTTTGGGCTGCCTCTCACTCTACTGACACAATTTCTCTACTCAAATATGCTCCCAGCTTCGCTCTCAATCCATGCCATGCTACACCATTCCAATTCGATGTGATCTGCATAACTAACGCCCAGTTCTTCGGGAACAGAACCCCGAAAACGTGCATTACCTAGTCAGGTATGCCTCGTTTAAATGATTTACTGTGAGATGAGCAAAACACTCTCAACGAGAAGAGAATCAAAAGTCGTGAAGAAACGCCAACAAAATATTAAAAGCTCAATGAGCTGGAACAATGTCTGTATGTCAGGTCTGTTCTGGTCTGTTCTGGGCATGAGCTGGGCCTTGAGTGCTTCGATTTTTGGCTCGGGCGAATAATTAATGGGGTTTTGCCCACCTTGCAGCCAAAAAGGGGCAGAGAATTGTTCGCTCATTAGCTGTGGGGCAGAGGGAGACAGTGTGCTGCCCCCGTGAATGCTGATAACAGAAAGATAAGCCCAGAGACAAGTGTACTTCGCCGGCAAAAGGGTGGGATTACATAATACACAGAAAACAAAAGCAATCCAAGCAATGCCCAACTAAAATTTAGTTGTCTTCCAGCTGGAAGTTGGAATACCTCAGAAATAAGAGAGTAAGGATTACCGTTAATTCAAATGCAAATGCTTTGTCTCCCCTCTGCAACAGAGTTTCACTTTCTGTGCACACAAAACGCGTTTTATCTATCCATCTAATACTCGTAGAGTAGATGATTATCGCATAAATGTATGAATTGGTTTATTGGCTGCACATTACAATCGTTTGTTTTCATTGCCATTTCGTTTGCAGTTTCTTTCGAGTACAGCAGCAAAAACAAATAAACATACACCATGGATGCCATCAAGAAGAAGATGCAAGCGATGAAAGTCGACAAGGATGGAGCTTTGGAGCGCGCTCTCGTCTGCGAACAAGAGGCACGCGATGCCAACACCCGCGCCGAAAAGGTAATTCAACCATCAGCCACTCTATGGCTCCAGTCCATCCCCTGAAACACCACACGCACTACGCCCGGTTGGTGCGAGAGGTGGCAGCATTTACTATAACAAAAAACATAATTAAAGGTTTTAAATATGAACAGAGATCTCATCCCGTGCGATGATCTTTGACTGAAACATAATAAATCTTGTTAACACATTTTCTATTGTTACATTTTTATTATAAATATTTTGTTTATTTAAATACTATAATTAAAGGCCGAGGAAGAGGCTCGCCAGCTGCAGAAGAAAATCCAGACCGTTGAGAACGAGCTGGATCAGACCCAGGAGGCCCTCACCCTTGTCACTGGCAAGCTGGAGGAGAAGAACAAGGCCCTGCAGAATGTAAGTTCAAGAATTTCATACCTCTTACAATATTTTAGAATAGATTTTAAGTTGATTTTAGAGCAGGAATAGAAGGCGGGAAGCTCAATGAAACATTTCCAAATGTTTGTATAGATTTCCTAGAAGTTTTTTGATCAGAATCAAATTTAAGATACATTTAAGTACTGGAAATAATAAAGTTAGCTATAAGAAAAGTTTGCCTTCAAATTTCTAACCCAGAAATTATATTCCCGTTCCACCTAAAATATTTTAATTTAAAATCAAAGTTCTGCATAGTTAAAGCTTCAAAGTTATTCCAAAAACCACATAAAGTTCATAATTTCTTTAATCACTTGACAAAAACATTCAAAAAATTAAAAAGGCAGACCCATTAATTATTGAAATTTCAGTCTGGGCATTTGTCAGCGCCCACAAAATTGTTACACATTTCCTTAGGAAACGTATCCGAAAATAAGCGTCTCTAGATATTAAGAAAAAGCATTTACTTTTTATGCTATTTCACAATATTTGAGTATTCTTTGAAATGCATTTTTGGGTTCAGCTACAAGTCAAGAAATACACATAAATTTATTCCAAGTGATGCAGGAAAATGGGGGGGAAATGAAAATGGGCCAGCGTGAAAAGTGTGTCATCGGTGCGGCAATTTAATGCTAATTTTCCGGCACCTTCTTTGAAATGAGATAAATGTTTGGGGGCGGAAATTCCAATCTATTTTATGTGCGCGAGGTGTTTGTTCTCATAAATTTTGAATTCAATTTCAAACAAAAGGAAATAGCAGCGAGCAATTGCCACGCAGCACTCCGTCTGGGTGTGCGTTTTTCTCTTACTGTTGGCAGCGCCTTTGCGGTGTGGCGCTATTTTTAAATTCGTTGGAAATAGCAACGCCCGTTGGAGTGACAGAGAGAGAGAGCGACAGCAACGCATGCGCGCCTGTGTGTGTGTGGCAATATCAAATAACGCAAAGACAAATGAAAATTGTTTTTGCAAAAAATATTTTCATGCAAAAACACAAAATGGTTTCCTCTCTTTTTTCTGTACAGTATTTAGAACAATTTTCTTGGCGTTGGGCCGCCACCGCCACCGCCTTGTGCTTTCCAAACAAAAAGAAAAATATAAATCAAATTGAATTTTTTCATGTTCTTTGCTCTCGATTCGTTTTTTGGTTTGGGACGTTGTTCGGAAATTATTTCAAGGACTTGGCAGCGTTTCAAATCTTCAACATTTTCAGGTAACCAGAGGCGTGAAAAACATATTATAATGAAAAATAAAAAAAAACAAAACTTATCGGACAGCATAAATTATGAGATCTTGACAAATTATCAGTTTTGGCTTTTGTTTTTGCTGTCGTTGGTGGCCCTGCCCCGTATGCCTATCGTTCAAATAGATATGACGATGCCTGCGCCTGAGTAATAATACGAGATATGAAAAAAGAATAAAAAATACAGAGATAAGCAATTAAATCAAACAAAAACTGAAATGGAATGAATAGACCAGGAAAACTCAACGCAAATACCGCAAGAGAGTAAGAGAGCAGGAGCGCGCGCTAGAGAGATGCAAGGTATATGCAGACACAATGAGGCATTCTTCTATCTCCCTCGATCGCTTTCTGCCACGCGACCAAACCAAAGAGCACTGCCTCACCGACTGCATGCATATACTCTGCGAGAAAGATGGGTGGGTGGCGCTCTCGCTCTCCCCCTAGATGTGCGATCAGAGTGCAACACACACACAAATAGTGCTGATTCACTCGGACATGTGCCACACGTCCACCACGCTTTGTATGGGGGCGCATTAGAGAGAGAGAAAATTATAGTTTGGGAGATTGAGAGATAGAGAGAGAGAGAGAGCGCCACTGCCTGCCGGTGAGCGCATGGCCCCAAAATTATCGGCACAGCACAGCACACACTTTCAAGTACAACGCCGAAGCAAGCAGCGGGGCCGAAGAACAAACCCTCCCAAGCAGCAGCAAGCAGAGCAGACCAGCCGCCGCCCGCCGCCTCCAACTCAACTCAACTCAACCCCATCGGAAATCTAAAATCAAAATCAAATAAATTATAAATAAATGAAACCCGCATTCTTATAAATCAAACTAAATAGGTTTATCAATCAGTTAATTAATTAGAAAAGTCGCTACTTTCATTTAATACGCATTAAATGAAATTCTAGAGATTTCACAAATTACATAAATAAACCGTTACACATGCCAAAAAAACAAGAGAAAGAGAAACCGCAAACTTTTCTCTGCCATTTTCCACGCGCTACTGAAAATCTAAAGAGATAAAAGAGAGCAAACACAAAAAAAAAACATTAGATCTATTAAATCATCAATAAAAATAGCTAGAAAAAAAGGAAATTCGTAATCCAACTAACGGTACAATGAGCGCAGCTGCTTGAATAAACCAAAAACAAACACAAAACACCTAAAACCTCACGCATCAAATCACACAAACAACAAACTGTAGCAAAAAAGCCGGCGCACATAATTAATATGTACGAGAAAACATTAACAATAGGAAATGCAAAAGTTAATAATGCATATGAGTGGCAAAAAGTGAGTTACAACAAAAGCACAACAACGGCAGCCAAACCAAAGCAAAACAATCCCAAAGCAAGCAAAAGCAGCAGTGCAAAAACTGCAACCAAAGCAAATGCAACTACAAAAATAGCAGCAACTGCAACAACAACACCCAAAGAGACGGCCACCGTTAAACCCTCAACGCAGCAGTCAACACAAAATCAAAAGTACAAATACTTTGGCAGCGCGGCGCGCCGGCTGGCCCATCAAATAAAGCGGGCGCATCGGCATTTACTGACCAGCGGCGGCAACGACAAACAACCACAACAAAAGCGTAACGAAATCAACATTCAAACTCAATTGATTTAGACATGATTTGATGTGGCTTCAAATCAAATCTAAAGCAGTTGAGGCAGTACCACCGTACCTTCGATAACTACACACGCACATGGCAATCAGCTTTTGTCAGTCTGAAATGCGGGTGTAGTTATCTGGCAGCACTAAATATCGAAAGGCACACTCAAATGATTTAATTAAAATAACTACTAGCAATTAATAAGCACTTACGCCATAACAGCTGGTATTTGGCTGTTAAGAGTATATTAAATCATTTTTGTGTGCCATTGCACTCGATTGCACTCCCACCCATACAATCGACTTATTCACTCCCTATCGATATACCACAAACAGCTGTTGCACCAAAAATAAATCGCAGCGCAGGAAGACGGACACAAGCAACAAAAACAACAACAACAACACCAGCTGCAAAACAGCAGAAACAGCAGCCGCGTAACAAACGCGCATCCAACAAACAATTATTAAGCAAAAGTGATAAACCAAAATCAAAAACACCAGGCAAACACCAGCGTCAGCTTGGCAGCAGCAGCAGCCGCAGAAACAGTCGCAGTGACGGGGCACTATCGGGGCAGTCTTCGCGTTGGTGCTCCATCGAGGCGCAGCTGAATGTGCTGGACGATCTGCTGTACTACTGCGATGAGGAGGCCGAATTGTATTTAGCCCAGCTCTACGAAAGGTACCAGCAGCAGCGCACCTGCGATCAGAGCTCCAACAGTGAGTACGAGTCCGGATCAACGGACTTCTGGAGCGACGTCTCCGCCTCCGACACTGACGACAACATGTCGCACAACAACAGTGCCGACGACGATGGCCTGTCCAGCACCAGCGGGACAGGCAGCAACAGCACCCACAGCCTCTCCTCACCCCTGGTGCCAGCCGCCCTGAAGCGGCGTGGCCATCAGCATCATCCCCGCTTCTCGGGCACACGTCGGCCCAATGTGCCCAATGTCCAGGAGATACTGGCCGCTCTCTATCGCGGCGACTCCAAGGGTGTGCTCTCCAATCTGCGTGGTGAGGTTCAGCCAGAGCCGGAGCCCGACAATGAGACACCGGTGGAAGAGCCGTCCACTCCGATTAGCCGCAGCACCCTAAGTCTTCCACTCACCGATTCGGTGACCACTTCCCTGGGCAGCAACAGTCCCACGCCCACGGACGAGAGCAGCGTGCAAGATGACAGTGCGGCCACACCCACGGCCGGCACTGCGACAGCAACAAAAGCGCCTTCAGCCCTGCCTGTGCCACCCAACGGCAAGGAGGGCAAGACGTCCAGTGGCAAGAAAAAGAAGCGGGACAAAGGCGAAAAGTCCGAGAAGCGTGATAGAGGCGACAAGGCAGAGAAGAGTGAAAAAGGTGAAAAGTCGGAGCGGAAGAAGAAATCCTCCTCGTCGTCGTCGTCGGGCAAGCGAGAGCGCAGCAAGCGTCATGGCACGAGTACGATGGAGGCCAGCAGTGATAGCCTGGCCACCGATATCAGTGCCGGGGCCATAGACGAGGGCATAGCACTGGGCGACGACGACGACACCCAGTCTGCGGAGTGGTCCAAATTGCGATGCACCAGCGAGGCGGCCGAGATTGTGGCCGAGCGAGAGGCACGCCGCAACAAGGGACGGTGTGCGGACTATCCGGGCCTGGCCTTTGGACGCTCCATCTTCAGCTCGGACACCATGATGAAGTTCAATATCATCCGGAACGAGCTGCACAACATCATGAATACACAACTTAAAAGGGTAATTAGCAGTTGACAAAGTGGTTCGATGTGAGCAGTGAGAGTCTTTTCTATATACATTTCCACTAATCACATTTCTATATCTAATTCAAGCCAAAAGCAAGACCGTCGTCTTCCGTCTGATGATGTCTTCCCTGGCTGTTCTGTTGCTCTTGCGAATATTCTTGTGTAAAGTTTGGTTAGGTTCTCTCGTCCCTCTATCGCTCTTTCCATCTATGATTGCTCCAATTGTTGTTGTTTCCTATCTCTCGTTTCTTTTGTTCGGTTCTTTCTTTTTTTTTAAATCTATTGCTTTTGTTGCTGTTGTTAGTTTTTGTGTGGTTTGCACATTGCAAAGCGATTACGTCGTCGTCTTTGTCGACTTTTGTTGCCTTCTTTTTCGCGATACGTGCCCTAGCGGCGGGTACAAAGATTTGAGCAAGCTGTTTGCCAGCCAGAAACTAGGGATTTCTGTTTCTATAAATGTGCATAGCTTCTTGCTTAGCGTCCTATGATCGTTTGCATTTGATTTAAGCTTCTAATAGCTACGTAGGGTATTAAATCATTCCCCTATCGAATCTTAGCTGATTTTCTTTAAACCCTCTTTCTCCCACGCTCTTGCATTATCTTGCCCTTGCATTGAGACATTACATGGCATTTTCTGGTGGAACTTTTTGGAATTCTTTCTATATTATTGATTATGAATAGTGGGACCCCTAGGAAACGATTTGGTTTGTCTTGGCGCCTCTTCTTTCTGTGGTTTCTTTCTCTCTCTCTCACACACACACACACACACACACATGCAAATCTTGACCCACTTTGCACGTACTTATGCCTATTTCTTTCACCTTTTTCTTGCCATTCCAATGGTCGACGCAAGTCGCCAATTCGTTTTGCATTTCCCCCCGTATATGTGTATAAACCCCCAGAGAGCAGAAAAAGTATTTCAACAATTTGTTGTTTGCTTAATTGCAGGCAATTGTTTAATTAGTTACGCAATTGCACAAAAATTGCTAACGGTACCTGTTGCGCGCTCCCACAGCATACCACACACTCTCTCTCCCTCTAACACTCTCTTTGCTCGGCAAAAAAAGACCAGCCCTATAAAATGGCACCAGTACTAGTAGGCTACTCCCCCGCCAATATGGTATTGGGTGGGGGGTGTCCATAACCATACTCCAAGTGGTCTTGGCCCCAACCCCATAAATGGCCGCTTACATTACATGCTTCTACTTCAAATATCACTAAAAGGAAAACATTACCATCTATGGCCAAAGCATAGCCGCAAAATGTTCTCTGTACAAAGCTCGACTTGCCAATTTGGTGTACAAATTAATTATTAAATGTTGATACGGGCTATGTACGTGTTATGTTCCCATAGCGAACGACCTTCGATGCGACTGCGGCATTTACTTTTAATTTCTTTTCAATGCCGCCTGGCTAAACATGGACAGTCGCTCATTGTTGGCATTATCAACAATTACGCCATCGCCGAATAGGGATGAGAGTCTGAGAATACAAATAAATGACACAGCAACAGGTGGAAGCCTCGGGGGCATAGAACTTTTTCAAATTCAAAACTCCCGATATGATATCGATATCTTGTGTGGGGGGCACAATCGCCGGAGAGAGAGTCAACTAGCCCGATTAGTCATTACGGTGTCTAGCCATAACGCTCTCACGCTTACGTTGTTTGCTTGCGTGTTGATAAGCCTGATAAAGCACCGGTATTGTAGTAGTTTTTTGTTGTTGTAGTATTCAGTACAATTAGCTTGTGAAAGAGGCAGGCGAGGAAAAGGCAGGGGCGTTGCGTTGGCAAATGCACACACATACGGAGCTATGTTGTTTGCTGCTCGAATGTCTGTATGTATGCAGATAGAGAGAACCACCTGATTACTCATTTCCAGCCTAAATGGAGATTGTATATGACATGCGCCTTTTTTTTGCATAATATTGTTGGCATAGAAATAACAAAAATCTGAAATATTTCTTCACTAATTAATGCCAAACAACAACAAACATGTCCACAGAATTTTAGCGGCTTTTAACAGGTTTTCCAGCGGCACACCAACACACACAAAAACTCTTAGCTCATGAGCACACACACACACAACAGCATACAGTTTTAGGCGAGGCAGACAGGCTGGAAAGTCACACACACATAGGGGTAGACACCGACTCTCTCAACCGGCGACACACCAGTTGTCTCTGTCACACCATTGGGCAAATCAAGCTAAGTGTCTCAGATGAACTAGTTCAGCGCCATGATGCAACTATACAAGGTGGTCTCGTTTGAAAAGTGCTCTATTATCTATGCTGTTCGTAAGTGCGAGTGGAAGGGTTCTGTTTAGTAAGTGTGAGTGAAACGAAACTATCGTGTGATGATTAACCATATGTTTTCATGGGGTTTAAAGTTGCCCGTTTAGACGAATATTTTATTTATTTTTAAATTTGGGTTTCAATAAGCTACTACAGCGCGCATATTCTTAATACGGGGGTTAATATGACGGAAAAAATTCATCAGCTCTGGCATCAACAAGCGAGCACGCACTCAAACTTATTAGAGCCGAACACATCCGAACGTCACCCGAGGAGACCACCTTGCATAGTTGTTCAGTTCGCTCACAGATAGTTCGCTCATTTCCAATTCGTCGTTCGAGTCGCGTCGGTCGTCTCTGTTTTGTGTGTCGTCGAATTGTGGTGTTTTATATTTATTCGCTATTTATTCTACTACTGTTTTGTGTGCCAGGCTAAAGTCCCTATAACCAGCTAAACGCTGCCTAGAAAGCTAACGCAAGCGACAGAAAAAAAGTGGTCAAAGAGAAAGAAGAAAAAGAACCGGTGGTTTTTTCTTCATTTCATGTGTGTGTGAGTGTCGTTCCATTCCCCTTGCGAGTGTTGGTGTGTGTTCTTCAAATTGTAAAATTTTATATATTTCGGTGCTGCCATACCATCACCAGAAAGCAACTGTTGAAATTATAACAGTAAAAGGCGAAAAAGGCCAATATCAAGTGTGCTCCAGTGCCCCCGGCTCTCCTGCCAACGCAAAGTCCAAGTGTCCAAAAAAAACACCCACAACCTAACTTAAAAATGACGACCAGCATTCCACAAGGCACTCTCCTGGACGTGCTCAAGAAGAAAATGCGTCAGACCAAAGAAGAAATGGAAAAGTATAAAGATGAGTGCGAGGAGTTCCACAAGCGCTTGCAACTCGAGGTGGTTCGACGCGAAGAAGTAAGCCAGCCTTCCATTTCCCTATTAGTTCTACAAAAATAAGTGGAAACTTAGCTATCTTTGGTATGGTTTAAATACTGCGTGACCTGTCTTATAAATTTTGCATAAATCCTACCTGTGGAAAAAAGATAGTAACCATTTCTTCCACACTCTCTCAGAGAGAGCGACAGACGAGAGCTCTCTCTCCCCTGTGTGTGTGAAAGTGTGTGTACTAGTGGAAGCGAGACAACTGCAAGTGTCGCGACAGGCTTCTCGCTCACATGAGTTCCAGAGAGCGACTTTAGTTCTGGCCTCTCCCGTTGATTCTGTTGTTGTTTCCCCTGCCTTTTTTTGGGCAAATTGTTGAGGCACAGGGTGGTTCGTGTCCATGCACCGCCACCATTGTTCTTCCTCTTGTTCCTTATTGTGTCACTTCTCTATCGTTTTAGGGTTAACTGTTTTTATCTTTGAGACGAAATTCATTCACCTTTCAAATTGTATGTTATCTCCTCGCTTCACGGCACAAAGCGCAACATTAGCATACACATACACAAGGCAAAAAAAGTAGAGAAAATAAAGAAATCTTTTGCTTTCTCAGCGACAAAAAAAAATGAAAACCGGCTTAAAGCTGAAGAAGCGGCAACGGCAGCATCAGCCGCAAAGTGGCAGCCACATCGTTTAGCTAGCGGTGTTCTAAATTCGATTAATTATGATCAATAAATGGTTGGATTCTCTTAATTATTTTTTTCAGTTTGTGCTTAATTCGATTCTAATTAGACAATTGAGAGAGAAATGCCGCAAGCGATTTCTGTAGGGCTCCCGGGTACACCCGTACAAGTCCGTGTGTGTGTGTTTGTGTATGAAATCACAGGGAGTGGGCCAATGACAGCATATGTTGACGTCATTTTTTTGGGGGCTCAGGAGCTGTGTTCCAGGAACTTATGGATGATTTTCAAGCCAATACAATTGCCTTCCCCCCATTTGTTAACTTTTCGCTTCCACGCTGCCAGCAAGTGATTGACGTTTGGTTTCCCCTCTCTGAAATGTAAAACAAAAACATAATTTGCTTTTGTTGTTGGTTTTCTATACAATGAATGCTTTTCAATGTCATTTGTTGTTCCCCTCCTTGCTGGGTCTTCCTTTCACCCCTCTTTTGTGTGTGTCCCTCTTTCCTGAAATTGAACGTTGATAATTTCAATGCGCTTTTGTGACAAATTGGTTTTGATTTGTGCTCCCTATCCCCCTGCTCCATGTCCGCTGTGCATGTTTGTGTGCGTATGCCGCAATATAAAGATTACAACACATGACGCCATAGGACTGGGGGTGTCAAGAGATCAGCAAAGCCCAGCCACACACCCTCTCACGATCGCCACCGAAAAAAACCACTTCATGCCTGAGAGAGCGCCCATCGTCTTTAACCGTTTTTCTTGGTGATTTACATTTTCATGGCGTTATTTTTCCAGTTCATAATTAAAAATGCATCATCACAATGGAATACACTCTCAAACACACACACATACACGCTGGCATACGCACACGCCCTGCCCTGCGTTTATTGTTTTATATTTCGTTGCCAAGGCAATTTCTGAAAATAAAACTAAAACAAATGGAATACTCTCCGATTCCAAGGTGTGTGTGTGACTAAGCCGACAAAAATTCATTGGCTTGTACCATTTCTCGGCCCCGTAGCTGGTTTTGCATGTTCATGGCTTTTGAATTTGGTTAAGATCGGTTGTTTTTATTGTTTTATTTTATTTTATTTTTTGCATTTTGCCGGTCATTTTTCATAAATTCCACAACAATGGGGGCCGGGGCCACTGCTCTCCAAAAACTTGTTCTGTCTCCAGCTTTTCTTTGGGCTCTTATTCTTCTTCTACTACTCTTTTTGTTGCTCTTAATAAAGCGTTTAATCTGCAATACATTTTGTTAATGAGTTCAGAAATAGAGGGGGAGAGCGAGACCACAACAGTTCGCTCTCTCTCCAACTTCCAACTGTGTGCAATCTCTTCTCTTTCGCGCCCATTGCTGCTGCCAACAACTCCCGCTACAAAACGAAACCCAACTGGAGTTGACTTTTTAAGCACTGGCCAAACAAGGCAGCAGATGATTTGCATCAATGCCAAACCTTAAACACTCTATATTTGAGCATTCGGCATGAGTCCTATCTATTTTCTAGATTTATATTCCCATGAAAGATCTCCACTGGAATGATGATCAAGCTAAGCAATCAAAACGCCTCGTTTAGCCAGTACTTTATTGTACTTTTTCAATGTTTTCTTTGCTTCGTTTCTGGTGCTTTTGTTGTTTTTGGAAGCCCCCCTGCTCTCCGGTGCTTCATCAACGGTTTGTTGTGTGACTTTCGGTGTTTGGAAAGCTTCGCGCTCTGCCAGCGCTGCGCTGCTCTTGGCTCCCCCAATTCGAAATGCTTTTTATCGTTTAACGTACATGTTGTGTGTGTGTTAGTGTATATTGTATGCTGCCTCTGTTTGGGATGATGACGTAAGCCAACACAACACGGTTGGTTCCAACTCATAATCACACGATACTTTTACGACTCGTGAAGGCAGAAAGAGAGGGAGAGCGAGTGGTTCTAAGCGTCGTCCAATCAGTCAATTGGTCATTCATTCATTCCATCATTACAGCATGTACATATCAGTAGCTCTCTATCTATGTCCGACCATATCAGTCACATTGGACATGGACATGGATGTGTAGACTCGACTGGGGACTGGACTGCCTTGTCCAATTGCTTTTGCCGTTTTTGATCAAAAGTTTGTTGCTTTTTTTATACTTTTTTCACCATTTTTGGGCGTGTGCTTGGCTGCTCACATTTTCGCTTTTCATCGTTTGAACCAAACTTCTCCTCTATATGGCCACAACTTTGTCAATGTCGAATACTTTCCGTTCTTTAATGGGTATATGAGTCTCATCGTCTTGTTTTGTGGAAAAAACTCTCATCAATATTTTCCATACGATGACGTCAGGTCCGGAGGCCAATAATGCCTTGAATTGGCTTCTTTTTGCTATAGTATATCGGTTTCAGTTCTGTTGAACTTCACTTGACTCCTGGGTATCGATTTCTTTTGGCCAAAGAAATTTTATAAGCCTGCTTTAGGGCGTCGGCACTTGGTTTTAACCTTGCAACACGCGGCAACAGCAACAGCAACGTCATGGCAGACGGCGGAAGACAGAATACGGAAAAAAAGGAAATTCTATTTACAGGTGGAAGCCAAAACGTGGAAATTACGGTCGACTCTTAGGGCAAATAAACTAATTAAAAGAATGGGCTTTTTGGGGCTTAAAAGAGAGCGCAAAACAGGATTTACCATACCAAAGATAGCAAAGTTGTTATACAGAATTTGTGTATTTCTTGTAGATATTTAACAAAAAAAAAAAGATACATGTTTTCCATGCCAAAGATGGCAGTGCTTTTGAATAGGAATTTATGTGTATTTCTTAAACAAAAGCAGAACCAAAACCAGCAACCATTTTATAGTGTATTTATTATGAAATCTCCTAAGTTTAGCATTGTAAGAAGTAAATTATTTGATAAGTTTATAGTTTATGAATGTTTTGTTGTATGTATTATGCTATATTGGGTTCGTACGAACATATATATTGTCTTATAGGCCGAATCTGAGGTTGCTGCTCTGAACCGTCGCATTCAGTTGCTCGAAGAAGACTTGGAGCGCTCTGAGGAGCGTCTGGGCTCCGCCACAGCCAAGCTGTCGGAAGCCTCTCAGGCCGCTGATGAGAGCGAACGGTTAGTACATTTGTTACCATATATCCATATCCCATTCCCCCACCCTCCCTCTATATATGATGTATATTATAATACTCTATAAGATTACAGCATACAAATATTGAAGATCAAGTTATATTTATCCTATCTATACACATATCTATAATACTATAATGCATTGCTTTGACAACAAATTTAGGATACGAAAAGCGCTTGAGAATCGCACAAATATGGAAGATGACAAAGTGGCTCTCTTGGAGAACCAATTAGCACAAGCAAAATTAATTGCAGAAGAAGCCGATAAGAAATACGAAGAGGTATAGTCATCATATCCATCTATCTACGGAAGAGAGTCTTTTATTCTCTCTCTGTCTGCGTTAGGGCTTTAGGGTTATTAGGTTTTTCGATTGAGGTTAGGTTTGTGTTTCTCTCTAGGTCAACATTTTGCGTTTACTAATTAGGTTTTGGGTCTACAGATATCTGCGCTCTCTTTAACAACTGTGAAATTATAATCATTTTAATAAGTTAGTTTTCTAAGAAACTTTTTGTAAACAGCATTTACTGAACGTCGACCCACCGTTGGAACTACTGCAACAACAATCTATGGATGATCTACATTTCTTATTCTGTATAAATATTGTAAAATTTAGGTCTATAAATATGGACATAGGCATGTCCTACATAAGCTTATGGTAGTCGATTAGTAAAAATGGCTGTTCAAACAATTATGTCTGTAAAAAAAATGACCCCCTTCACCAACAAGAAAACCCCTTCCAAATGTTTGTAATGTTTGTTTGGAGAAGCTAAAACAATGATTTATGACAGCTGAACTCTTTCCAACTTTCCAACGTTCTTGATCTAGATCAATAGCGGATAATCTAGAGACTAGTCTAGATTATTAGTCTGAAACATAACGGTTAGAGCTGCCAATAGCGACACATTCCACACGTGTGGAAGATTTCATTCCATTTTACTCCATTCCAGTCAATCGTTATTTTAAGGGATTTTATTGGCAAAAATCCCGTGTATCCATCAATGAATTTCCTTCATTCCATGTGAAATTTGAATGTCCCACCATTGTTTTAGCTTTTCCATGTACTGTCTCCCCCACCACCGTCTTTAATTCCCTGTAAAATATTTGTTAATTATTTGATTGACAAAATCCGAAACTTTAAAACTCAACTGGCAACAACAAATTCTTGTCTCTCTTTTTACAACAAACAAAACAACAACAACTATAACTGAACCAACCACGACAACAACAAAAATCATTAAAACCAAAAAAAACAAAATCAATTCTATCTATTTGTGAAACCACCTCAACTGTGTTTGTTAAACCATCTGTTTGTCATAACAACCAACAACCAACTACAACAACAACAACTTTAACGTTTAACAACAACAACACTATCGAACACGCAACGATGTGGATGATGACGTCGAATGATTCGATTCACACTCTCTATCTATCCTTTGGGGCTGTACCAAAAAAAAAAACAACTACGATTCTTCCAATGACGGAATGAATGAAAAAACAATACTTAAATCATCGCTAACAACTTGGTCACTGTCTTCTATGGGCTTGGTCGTCGTCGTTACCGAAAACAACACATTGGTGTGCTAAATGGGACCTATATGTATTCGAAAACAAAAACACAAATATATATAGGGCTCGCAAGATTCTTGAGAATCGCGCCCTTGCCGATGAAGAACGCATGGACGCTCTCGAGAATCAGCTGAAGGAAGCGCGTTTCCTTGCTGAGGAGGCTGACAAGAAATACGATGAGGTGCAGCTAAAAACCAATTTATCTTCTGTTTCTACATTAATAAGCAAACAAAATAATAATAATGATAACAACAACAGTAACAGTTACAATATCGATACAAATGCTAATGCTAATAATAATAGCACCAACAACAATAACGCATCCAGAACTATTGCACCTGCTGCTGTTGGTGAAGCGAAGATCACTTCAACTTTATCCTCCACAAGCCCAAGCCACGAACATGAACACAACAATAATCCCCCCAATAATGACACTTGATTTTGATTCCTTTGCCAAAGGATCTAAACAAAAACGAAATTAGAACCCTTTAAAGCGGGTCTAACCAATATATTTTGGCACAGGAATCAACTATCGAGTGTTGATACGTAAAACTTGTGCTTAAAATCGATTCAATGATGACGATGATGATGATGATATAGTAACGAATGATGCTTGAAGGGCAGCTATAGCTATAGAATCCAAGGCATGCAACGCCTGCCCGTTGCCTCACAATAATATATATGCAATATATAAATATATGTAAAGATTCTGATGTATTAGTCGATGTACATACAATCCAATGAGATGTTTGATGAACAAATGAGACTCCTAATATCATCCCTCTTCCAGAAGGGGAGCCCCCACATGTGTGTGTCTTTTTATTTGTAAATTATGTTAATTGTTAAGCGATATCCATACAGAATCCAAGTGTACTTTTGTTATCGTCCTTAATTTACTCTTCGAAAAGAGATAAAGGAGCTTCAGAAGCAAATATTTTGATGATTATTTCAATTAAAATTGCAATTTTAATTTGATTTATATTTCTATTTGCAAAAAGCAACAATTGTAAAGATTATTTAATATCATTTCAAAATTATATAAAACAATTAATTATACAAATAATCCAACAAAAAACCCAAAAAAATAATTCATTTAATAATTTTTGATTTAATATTTTTGCAAATTAAAGTTTATATAACAATTATATACAAATATATATATTATAAAATACATATATGAATGCAGCATAAAAGAAAACTAACTTTTGGTCTTTTTGGGAGCAGATAATGTTTTTAGCTTTTACGACTTGTTGTACATTTTCTCTACGAATATTATGGTGGAAAGGTTTAACTGTTTAAGGGATAGGAAGCAACATATAAATGAAGTTAGAAGTTGGTAGTCTTCTGCAGCTTAATCAGAATCAAATGGAAATTAATTCAAAGGTGTATATTTAGGAGCCTTTCTTTTATAAAATGATTAAAAATTGTTGCTTATGAAGCCATGCTATGCAGTGATTTTACAGATGGTGCTTGAACATGCTTATTTTTCAGGAAATTAAAGGGAACCAAGAGAGATTCCTTTTGCCTGTCCTGTACAGCTCTCCTTGAAGAAGCCACTTGTTCCTGCTGGAGATCTCAATTTATGTATGGATTGCCAAGTATTCTCACAGAGTCTTCTTCAAGGGCAATATATCTGAATTGTATTTCTAAATTCTTTGATAAAGCGTGAAATTACAGATCTTCATCGAGAAGTACATGTCTGACCCTCGATTGCGGATATTTTTCTTTAAGAAAAATACACCTGACCCCAAGTTCAGTTAACCACAGTCCAGAAATATCTGATCTTCCAGAAACTGCCATGGATATAGATCGTTTTTCATGTTAAATCTTTAGTATTCTTGCCATTAAAGGATGTTTACTTTCTTCTCTCTAAAAGAGAACTCTCTTGGAGTTTATTTTTGCTTACGTGTTTCGCACGTCAATTGTCAGAAATCGATTAAATAAACCAATTGTTAACTGATACACGGCCATTGCCTGCAGATAAGCTTCAATGTCTACGTCCTCACTTTTTGCCTTTGTGGCTTCCTTATCTTTCTCCAGAAAACAAAGGCAAAAAAGCACTGGCAAAACGAGAGCGAGAGAGTGTGAGTTTGTTTAACTGAAACTTTTGATAAGAGAAGGCCGCTCCCCAATATGGCCAATGTGCTCGACTGCAGCATAAAGTGTGGGCCCCATGACATAAGCAGCTAAAATCCCTCTGTAAATGTTGCCAAAACGATCGATGATGAATCCCAAACGCAATGCTTTGCTCCCCACTTGACCCTCGCTCTGAGGGAGAGAGAGTCTCGGCGCATGTGGCGGGAAGTACTCAAAACAGTGAATCAGCGGCCAGAAATGTGCGTGGAATGAATCCAACCAACGATCGCCCTCTCCACACCATATCTTTTTCCGTTTAAAGATCTGACGACACTTTCAGTTACCTTGCATTCACGTTTTCTGATTCATTTTGTGGAACGCTCTCACTTCCCTCCTGGAAACTATTTGCATACGTCAATGCAGGAAATTGGCTAATTTTGTAGTCAGCATTTGGTAATTCCATAAACAAATAGTGCCAAAATTGGTTAACTGATTTCCGCCTTTCTCTAATGAAGCATCTTTTGGAAAAATAAAGTGAATGTAATGTTTAGCTATAGTTGGTAATAATTTCCTCTAAATAAATGATTTTTCATATTTATGATTATGGGATTGATAGGTTTTGGGATTGTAGATGAAAACATAGGTTTTCATCAATTCTGAATTCTAATTTCCCTTGGCAAAATTGACAGTTCGAGTCAAAAGTAATTTATCTGTCGAAGAACTATTCCCAAGGAGTTCCCAAGGGAATTCTGAGATTTTTTCAAAAGGGAGATCATAAAATGTTAGGTCGCTAATTTCATCAGGAAAAAGATTACATTGCTAAATTGCTATAAGGAAAGGAAAAATTCATGTTAAGTCAGGAAGGGATGAAAGGGATTATAAAACACCAAAAAACCTTTCCATGAAATGTACAACAACGTCGAAAGGTATTAATACAATCCAACCCACTACTCAGTATACCTTTTGTATGCAATAAAATATTTAAGAAGATGTGATTATAGTACACCATTGGATCGTATGATTTAAAAGACACACACACGCGGAAAGCACAAGTTTTATAGGAAATCCATTCACAAACACAAGAAAATAATAACAATTAAATTAAACAATTTGTTTTGTTGTTTACTAAATTAGACTTTAGGCGAAACACCAAAACCATACATTACATTCAAAGAACAAACAAATCTAACCAGAATATCATCTCAACGCTTTATGTACTTGTAAAAACACCAAAACCAAAAACATGAAATTTAATACATTTTCTATATACGTTCTCCTGTGTATCCTGTATATGCCATACAAAATATCTTGTATTATATCGAAACCAACACACAATCCATCAAACGAATTGTAAATGAATTGTCTATGAGAAAAGGTTGCCCGTAAATTGGCGATGGTTGAAGCTGATTTGGAGCGTGCCGAAGAACGTGCCGAACAGGGTGAAAAGTACGTTTTAAGTTTACATTTATACCAAATAAACGTTAAATATGTTACAAAAATGTTTCCTGTTTCTAATATTAATGAAAAACAATGTTGAAATTGTCGCAAAACCTAACCTCAAAGCCGTTTATTGCATATATAAATATATCCCTTTTTACATTTTTCAGTTTAAAGTTTGATTTTTCTATTGTGTTTATTTTCTTTTAGCTAGCTAGCTTTTTGCATAAATGTTAATACATTGTTTGGTTACAAAATGTGAATATTCTATACACTGGCATCTAATTTTGTGTATATTAAAAGCATGTTTTGTAGTTTAGAACAAAACAAAGCACAGAAAACAAAGAACAAAGCAAGGCAAAGAGGTTCAAATTTCCTTATTTCTCTTTCGAAAGGGACATTTTTAATGGGGACATGCACAAATGCAGTTGAGGCCTCATTTAAGCAGTGCTTAATATGTAAGCAGTGCTATGACGAGCTTACCTAGTGAGCGCACAACCAGCGCTCTCTTCTGTGATGTTGTGCATCTCCCTCTACCTTGAATGACTGCAGTGTGCATTGTGAGAGTGCCACCTCTCACGCTACCACGCTCGCTATCCACCTAACTGTAAATCCAAAGCACAGTGAAAGAAAGAGCAAATGGAAAAAAATTTGCACCTCTTAGCTCTTTGTATCATGAATCATGAATGATCCTGCACAGTATTCACATTTTTGTTACCAACATTCCCAACGTCCAAGCCAGACACTTGACTAATCTATGACAACATTTTTTCTATTGCCATTCCCTAACCCATGCCAAAAAACAAACACATAAACACCTTGTTGCCGTTGTTGTGTGTGTTTGTGTGTGTGTACATTAATACAATGCCCGTGCTAACACCTTGCCACGCCCTTGCGCTGCCCTGCTGCTACTCCTACACCTACGCCCACGTCTGAAGGTTGCCAGAAAACTTGTACTCATGGAACAGGATCTGGAGCGTTCCGAGGAAAAAGTTGAGCTCAGCGAAAGGTTTGTCCAATGCCACCACACAGCCACTGCGCCTCTCTATCTTTGATGTCTTTTTTTTGTGTACTAACTGCATTTCGTTAAATATAATACACACTTTACTTTGGTTTTATTTGTGTGCGGAATCTATGCCAGCGATGGACAAATATTTATTTATAATTTCCATAGTTTATAAATAACCAAAACGAAACAGAAATGCCAAAAAAGTGAAATCGTCTGGAGATGCTGTCGGTCCGGTCCAAAAACAATTGTTGTGATTACAAAAATATTTGCCAGACCTTGGCAACATGATTTGACGCTTTATTTTTCTTGTGGAATCTCTTGGCCATCCAACTGTGGTCGGTGGCAGCATCGCCTCCAGTCGGACAGTCACAAGATTTTATTTCGAAATTGAAGTGTAGCTCAAGTCAACCTCTCTTTTCCACTGGCATAAATTCCGCACAAAATAAAAACCTTTATATTTAACAATTGCATGAGTTGTTCTTCTCTTTTTTCCCCACACTTGATTATTTTGTCAAATATTTAATGAACATTTCTCTAACGTCTAACAGCAAAATTGTGGAGCTTGAGGAGGAGCTGCGCGTGGTTGGCAACAACCTGAAGTCCCTGGAAGTGTCTGAGGAGAAGGTCAGTATCTGTCTTTTTTTCACCAAATTAATCACTCATTTGAAAACTTGTGATGAAAATCATTTGAATCAATGTTTCTTAAATATTTATATTGAATTTTCCCCACAAACCCGAAATACTCAAAAAAACTTGCCCCGTAATGTACAACAACAACAACAACGAAAACGATACGAAAAACAAATAGGCCAACCAACGTGAGGAAGAATACAAGAACCAAATCAAGACCCTGAACACTCGTCTAAAGGAGGTAGATATCAAACAAAAGAAAAGAAGAAAGCCTTCGCATCAAAAAGTGGCCAAAAAGCAAAGAGGATTTCCCAGATCCAAGGCGCTCAAAACGAGTGTTCCAAACCAGCGATTATATATATAAATAAACATCTCTTTTGTTGTTGTTTCTCGTTATTGTTTGACTTATACTATACAAAGTTTATAGGGAGGGGCGCACCAGACAGTCAATCCCCTCCCAAAAAGAAAGACCCTCAACAGGAACTATTGTACTACGCAGAGTTTCCAGTCTTTCATTTTGTTGTTGTACTAATAATTCTTATAAAATGTCTACCGACATGATATTTATACATATTTGTTTACAGATCAATCAGTTGTATTTATTTTATTGATTACTAATTTACATTTTCTTTTATTTCTTATTTTCATATTATGTTTTTCGTTAAATGTTGCTGCTAAAAAAACATATCAAAAAATGCAAAAAAAAAAAACAAATTCTAATTTGCGCACCTGCTGGATGTTTACCAACACTGACCACTGATTTATGCTTGCATGAATATTGTTTATTAATTTTTGTTCAACAAAAAATGCTTTTTAATAAATAAACAAAACGCTTTCCAACACTGAACACCAGGCCACACAAAAAGAGGAGACCTTTGAAACGCAAATCAAGGTCTTGGATCATTCTCTGAAAGAGGTATTATGCAGAGTCGAAATATATGAATTATATCTCTGGTGTTGGCAAAAACGCTTCTAAACTAAGAGTAACTCTAGACTAGCTTTAGTAATACAAAGCTCTTAACTGAAAGAAAGAAAACAAACAAACAACAAAAAAGAAAATATTGAATTGCACAAATCGTTATTCTCAATTTTAAATTTGTTGTACATATTCGTCAATTCGACATTTAATATTTTCTTTTTTATAAACCAAAAATAAAAACCAAAAAAGCACTTTGGGAAAATACAACAAATGGCAATACAAGTGTTGAAAAATTATACAAAATGATAGATCAATGTCGTATATATGCGATACATTTAGCGTACATCCATGGGCAAGTATTTCTATGTCGTGTCATCCCTCTCGTCAGACGTGTGTGTGTACATTTGTTCAAAATTGAAAACAACTTTTTGTGCAAAAAAGGAAAATATTTTTCCAGCACTTATACTTCAGCTTTCTACTGCTTGTTGTAGTGGTAGTAATTGACAGATGATGAATAGAGCCGAACCACTTACAACTCGATTAATAGTCAATGTTTTACAACACTTGTCGTGGTTATGCAACACAAGTAGAAGGTTTACAACACCACTCCACTGCTTGGTTAGTAGTCATCATGGTCTTGCAACACTGTTTTTCCTGCTCATGCTTGGCTGGTAGCCAACACTGTAATTCCACCAATGAGAACGTTTTTGTCCAACACTTTTTCTACTTCTACTGCCTGATTAGTGTAGCCTCAAATTAAATACAAATCAAAATTAATTCAAACCTAAAGATATCTAATTTCGGTAGATATTTTATACAGTATTCCCCCCAAAATACACACAAAAACACCAACCAACAAACACACCTCTATAAAACACACACAGAAACTCCCAAAAATGTACGTGAAATGAAATGGATCTATTTTTTATAAACTATAAACCATTATTTGTTGTATTTCTCCCGATGTCTAGGCACGCGTCAATCAGAAATATTACGAACAGGAGCTCATACAGTTCAAATTAAATGTAGAAACTGTAAGTCGCGCCTAAAGAAGTGATGAGTCAATCGATGAGCGTAGATATTCTAGACAAATAAATAATCTTAACAGCATTTTCAGTTTCAATTTTTTTTTCATGCAGTGACTGCGTAGCCTCCTCTAGCAGTAATCAATTGTTGAACCAACATTCCACTCCAATATTTCCTTAATGATATTTAATTTGTCTGATTTAGGTGTTGTCTAAAAACCCCTAAATAGTACTCGTACAAAAGCGTAAGACTAAGTTTTGTAAGCATTTTAGTCGAATAAAAATGAGCGATTTTTTAAGTGTTAATCGAATGAAGTTTAATTTAATGTTTGTTTTACTTTTATCTAACTTTATTGCATAACCAATTTCACAAAATCATTATTATATCTTGTCTAATGTTCATTCTGACATCTACATTTATTTTTTAATACGTTATTTTTCTGCTGGTTTTGGTAGCATATTTGGGAAGCTTCTTGGCTTTTAGCTTGTAAATTCTTTTTGCTCGGGGCAAATTTCCCCAGTACACAGAATTTTACTTGTCTGCCAGGTATGGATTAAAGGGAAATTTGTGTTGTCCTTTAACCCATGCCTGCCAGCCACTTTTTGTTGCTATTTACTCCCCCACTGAATATTCAACTTTTTACTAATATAAACATTTAACACTCTTTTCCCTCCTTCCCAAAAATTAAAGGCTGAGGCTCGCGCTGAGTTCGCTGAACGTTCCGTTCAGAAATTGCAGAAGGAAGTCGACAGGCTCGAAGGTATGTCCGCCAAAGAATTTATCCATATATTACTGAGGCTCTAAGAGAGAACTTAGCCATGGAAATGTACATAGTTGAATATTTCCAAAACCTGTTTAGCAGTATTTCAAATTAAATCACAATGATTATATTAGTTAACTGAAATTTATTCAAATAGTTCTTTATTATTATTTATAAGTAGGATCAAAATTAATTTCCTCATTCCAATATCCAGTACCAATTGTGATCCATGGTGAAATTTTTAGTGTCTCTTATGTACAATCCCTTGAAATATTATTTTTATTTTTTCTGCTGTTTATCCAAAAAAAAAAAAAACATTACTTAATTTATTTGTATTTTTGTTTTTATTTTTCATATATTATTTGTTGTTAATGTTGTGCTTAACAAAAACAATACAACTTGCGCTGCTTGTACCCTCGCTCGCTCGCTCGCTAAAAAAACGAAAACAAATTTTGTTGTAAATCCGCCTGCATGTACCGTCAAACCCCCAACAAACAAACCAAAACTGTGCGTGCCCTCCAGATGACTTGCTGAATGAGCGCGGAAAGAACAAACTGCTGCAGGAGGAAATGGAGAACACTTTACATGACATACAGAACATGTAAATTCATCTAATTTGCTTGTGTAAATTAACTAAACTGCCTGCTTTGACGTCAAAACTATATACACACCGCCACCCCTCAACAACAACAACACCAACCCACACACCAAACTGGCGCTTTCCATTTTTAAATACTAGAAAAAGAAACAAACAAAACACATTTACACCACCACCCCAATGCATACACTGAGCCAGACAGACACCCAGGCCGCCAAGTGTCTTCTAATTGCAGAGTTGACGCCATCTTTCCATAGAACTCTGGACAAAAACGCTAAGCAAACAAAACAAAACAAAAAAACGAAAGAAAAAATATAAAAAAATAGCGTTAAATATTTAACATAAACGCAAAGAAAAGCAGTTACGAAAGAAGCGAAAAACAAGACATTCACCACGTAGTAGCAAGCGCATTCCAATTTATTTCAATTCCAAAATGACGCTGTGACTGGCAGCTAGCGTTTTCCAGTGTGCACTAACGTTGTGCACATTCCAATCAAAATTTATCCAAGATGCCTTTACAACACTGTTGCAATATTTAAAACTCCTTTTTTGGGTTGACATTTTAGTAACTTTCGACAAACGATTTAAACGTAGAGTAGATGTTTTATTTCCCAATTATTTTAAACATGCTTTTGCTACCCCTTTTTTAACATTGTTTTTGTTTGTGTATTACGATGATTATAAATGACAACTTGGACAAACGAAATGCATTGCCGCCTTCTTCTTAGTTTATGTGTATTTTATTTTAAATAGAGAGACAAACAAAACGCTGTTATTTATATTTAAAGAAAGTGAAGTACATTCTATATGCTAAAAAAAAGAGAAAAGTAAAAAAAGAACTTTGTATTTTGTGTCGCCAGCGCTTAACTGTATTAATATATATGCTAATGTTTATACATTGTTTATACATTATTTAAACAAATTGTAATGTTTGCAAAACGTTGTGTAATATTTGCCTACTTTTAAGTTTTGCCGCCACGCCTACCACACAAACACACCACAACCACCCACACACACACACACACACACACACTTTACTATAATTACAATTATTTCGAGACATTTAACAAAACTTTAGGAGCGACAATCCATTCCAATTGCAATTGCGTTTGCCGATTTTCCGGTAGCGCCTTTCTTTTATTTGAAAAATAAAACAAAACAACAAAAAAACCAACTCCAACATTCTACCGATTCTTCTGAATATATATCCCAAAACAAAATACAAACTGGGAGCAGATGGGGGCCCACAAAGATGGCAATTAAAATAAAAAGAGAAAACAATTTAAATTCGATTTACTTACGATTTACATAAATTAATTATTTATATTTTAATATACAAATATACCTATGCATACACATACGATATACATACATATACTACATACATATATACAACTACAATACAATCCATGCTGCTGCAAAATTGCACAAATAAAGTATTTTTCAAGAAAATATATGCACAATCCAGAACTAATCCCACGAAACTTCGTGCCATCGTCCAACGTTGAGTGTCCTCCTCTGTCGATCCTCTGTATGTGCCTTGACCCTACAATCGGCCTCTGAAGGTTCTATCGCACGCGATCTCCTACTCTGACTCTGCTCTAATCCGAATTTCTACTTTCGCTGATGCTGCCGCCCGCCGCCATGCGGCAACCACTAACCAATGAACCACTAAACCACACCCCAAACCACTCAACCCAATGCCAGACGAGACGATCGTCGAGAAAGAGCATTATGCCCTCATTGGCGACAGCCTGGACTGGACCTTCGTTGAGCTGATGGGCATGCCGCCCTTCTACAACGATCGCTACCCCAAGCCACCAACGCCCGAGCTTACCGAGGAGGATATAGCACGCATTGCGGAAGAAAAGGCCAAGGCCGAGGCCCAGGCGGCAGCTTTGGCAGCGGCCAAACAGGAAGCCGCTGATGCTCTGGCCGCTGCACTAGCTGCGGGTGTGGATCCGGCCACCTTGGATCCGGCCCTTGTCGAGGCTGCAGCGGAGGCGCCTGTGCCGGTCAAGTTGCCTACACCACCACCCAAGGAGCCCACTCCTCCACCACCACCACCACCACCATTCGAGTACTCGATCGATCTGCCCCCAGAGGGTGCTGAGGTGCCGTACGTGAAGAATGCCGAGCCGGGCGATATGCTGCCCCCAGTGGCGGCTGTCCCAGAGGGAGAAGCTGCTGCTGTGCCACCCGTTGAAGGGGAAGCTGCTGCCGCTGCAGCTCCAGCTCCAGCGGAAGGAGAAGCCGCAGCGCCACCTGCTGCAGCACCAGCTGAAGGAGAAGCCGCAGCTGCACCACCTGCAGGCGAGGCACCGCCACCACCCGCTGCCGAAGCAGCACCCGTCGAAGCTGCTCCTGCCGCTGAGGCACCACCTGCCTAAAGCAAACCCTGAAATGTTGTTTGTTGTCTAAAGTGATGAAATAGATCAAGGATCTCTCTAGAAGGATCTCGTCGCCGTTAATGAACTGGCCAATGTGTTTTTCCTTTCCGAATCTCACTAACATAAACCGCCCTCTTCCTGTGCGCCTCCTCTCCAACTCCAACTCCTACACCCACTCCCGCTCCCCCATTGATTATTCAACTTGATTGAAGTTTAATTTTTAGTTTTTTCGTTTCTGTTGCCTCCTTCTCACATGCTTTATTTTTCCAACACGCTTTCTCTCTCTCTCTCTCTCTCTCTCTCTCTTTCGCTGTCGACGCTCTCTCTCTATCTATCCTCCATCGATCTTGCACCACTCCATCGCTTGTCTTGCTTTTCTCACCAAACAAAATCCACATCGCATGCCTCGTGCCGTGCCGACAACCATCGATATCTGCAGATGAAATGATCGTTGAGAAGGAACGCTACTGTCTGATCAACGACAGCCTCGATGAAGCGTTCGTGGATGTGATTGTGGGCCTGGAGCCCTTCTGGAACCCGCGTAACCCCAAGCCGCCCACGCCCGAGCTCACCGAGGAGGATCTGGCTCGCATTGCGGAAGCAAAGGCCAAGGCCGAGGCCGAAGCGGCGGCCGTAGCAGCGGCCAAGCAGGAAGCCGCTGATGCTCTGGCCGCAGCATTGGCTGCGGGTGTTGATCCTGCCACCTTGGATCCGGCCCTTGTCGAGGCTGCAGCGGAGGCGCCTGTGCCGGTCAAGTTGCCTACACCACCACCCAAGGAGCCCACTCCTCCACCACCACCACCACCGCCATTCGAGTACTCGATCGATTTGCCCCCAGAGGGTGCCGAGGTGCCGTATGTCAAGAACTACGAGGGGCCACCACCGGGATCGGAGCCAGAGCCCGTTCCAGCTGCCGAGGGAGAGGCTGCTGCTGCCGCCCCAGCGGCCGAAGGTGGAGCACCTGCCGCGCCGGCTGAGGGCGCAGCACCACCAGCCGAAGGAGCGGCACCACCTGCCGAGGGAGCAGCACCTCCCGCTGAGGGAGCTGCTCCTCCAGCTGAGGGTGCTCCTGCTGCTGAGGCTGCTCCTGCAGCGGAGGCTGCTCCCGCTGCTGAGGCTGCTCCAGCTGCTGAGGCCGCACCAGCCGAAGCTGCTCCCGCCGAGGCTGCTCCCGCCGAAGCGCCACCAGCCTAAGCCGACCATTGCCCCGATGCTTGTCCTCAAGAGAATCTGCTGCGTACAACTCAAAGACACAACAACCTGCTACAAAATGCTGCCCTGCTTTTATACACTTAATTTTGAGCACGTTTTTGAGACATTTTTAATTGAAAATCCGATTTATAATTAAAAATTTCATTTCATCGAAGCATTGCAAAAACCAGAAGCTGCCTTTTAAGCACTGCTTTGTTTTATTTGTTTGCCGTTTACCGTTTACCATTTTGATTTCCGAAATTAACAGCTAGCCAACACGCGCACTGCCTTGCCGATGCGTGTACAACAATGCTGCTGACAAGCAGTTCCAACGCTGCTACATTTTATTTTAATTTTGACCCAAAAAGCGAGGTAATTATGGTTTAATTTGTGCAGACTTATTCTTTCCCTCAACCCCCAATCCAGGTGTTAGTTTTTGTCAGGTCTTTGTCCCCCACTTTGAGTGTAATTTGTATTTGTTTTGTATATTTTTATTAACTTGTGTTTTTTATTCTTGCGTTTTTTTATGATTTATCAATCACTTCAACAAACAGACGACCTTGTCCTGGAGAAGGAGCGCTACAAGGATATTGGAGACGATCTCGACACCGCCTTCGTCGAGCTCATCCTCAAGGAATAAGCGTACCGACCACGGACTACGACCTCCTCCAGCTCAGCGCGAAATCTTTCAACACTTTGCCAACAACACCATCACCACCACACACCTATCGATTGTTTTTATTACTGTAGCATAGTTATAGGCGCACTATTGTATTCCGTAGCCTTGTTATCGGTAGTAGCCGTACTTTTGATTTCCGTGTGTGTGTATACTTTTGTGTAGATTGATTTTGCCTGCAGATGACGATGAGGAATCATTAAAAACTATTGTGTATCTGTTTAACTCAAACATTTTTATTTATTATTTGTATCCAAACTAAGCAATAAATGCAATCAACCATAAAAATATATATTAACCACTTGGCATTCATTTTATTTGATTCTTCTTCCGCTGCTATCAATCCATCACAGATGAGGTTAGCAAAGGTAAGGAACAGTACAAAACTATTGCCCAGGAACTGGAGTATGCCGATCTGCACAGCTACTAAACTAAAAGAAGATGATGATACACAAAGCAACCACAACAAGAACAACAGCAAATGCAGCCTGCGATCTACAAACAACAAAACAAAACAACAAAAAATGGAGTCTGAAAGCATTTCGACGTCCGATATACAAATTATTTTTAGCATTACACTCAAGACCCTTCTTCAACTAAGCATTCCAAAACAAATTTACATACAATACATAGATATAACATCCTACTCTATGAACTAAGACCGAAAGTGTTACAATAAAGTACATTTTTGAGCAATTACATTTTATAAACAAAGTATAAATATAACGAAGCATTCAGTAAGAGTTGTGTGAAGAAAACACTGCCTTGTCTCTCTTTAATTGATTTTCCGGCTTGATAGTTTTAACGAAGTTTTGTAATGAACCCCTCAACCCACCAGTCTAAATCGAATACCCACAAAAATTATCTTCAATATATAAAGCTCCATAGCGCTTCATGTCCTAAGCAAAATGTCAATTTTTCTGTTCATTTCCCTCATTGCTTGAGTTTTTCTAGCAGAATGCAAAATGTATCTAAGAAAATGTTTACGGCCTTTGTATGAAAAATGAATACCAAAAATAATTAATATAAAGGGAGAAATATATAAATAAAATTTACAAATTTGACATAGCTTTTATAATTCTATAAAACATGCAAATCGAATAAATCAATGTACGAGTAAGAGTATGAATGTATACTGTGGTTTATTTCTCAATATTTTTCTGATCAATAAAGAGAAACAATTTTTTGCATATAAAAATAATAAGAAGTTTTTTTATTTAATGGGTTGATTTCATAGCAGAGCTCGAAAGCTAGGAAATTAACAATATTTGTTTTCGTACTACCCGAAAATATTACGGAGATGAAACTACTTCGAACAGATTTTAATAGGCATTGCTCATCGACTCGTCTTGGAAAGTTACTCTGCATTAAAATGCAACTGAAGAATACTTGGAAATTACAGTCTGGGACATTCTTTAAAATTGGACAAAATTAATAAAAAGACATCGGATCGAATACATCTCTGAACTGATTTTGTTCATAATATGAGCCAATTTTTGTTAAACTTCGGAAACTATAAATCAATCGTTAATTCTGAAGAAATTTCATGAAAATAACCCTGGGATTAAATCTCAAAATAGAATGTAGTATAGCTTGTAGCTAACGATCGGTCTCAAGAGACAATTTTTCCAGTTAATCCGAATTATACATCAAATCACTTAATGACAGAGGAACACTAAATCTGTATGAGTATCCAAAGGTTCTAGCCATTATTTTTTGGGAATGTACTAGAAAAGTTTAGGCGAACCACTTGAGTATATGAATATAAGTAATTTTTCATAAGAATGAATGAATGAATTGTTCTACATATGTAGAAACATATAACCTATTCAATATTCCAGCAATCCGATTGGGCGGGTATTGTGTCGCTGTCTGCAGTTGAAAGACTTCTGAAACGACTGTTCTGTAGCTTTGATCAAAATTCCAAAAATTTCTCAATATTTATTTCTGCGTGAAAATAGATTTTCATCTTGTTAGACATGCTCTTTCTTTTTTCTTTTTGCCGTTGGCAAGGCATCGAATATTTATGCGCTATTTTTAGACTGTAGATTCTGACGGATACACCACTACAAACACACATTCTATGAAAATTCTCTGAGTAAAGGAAGAAAGAAACCAAAACGCATAATTTTCACGATGAGCGAATGCAGTCAGGGAAAAATGAGAGCGGAAATGAGAGAGAGCGCTAGCGCAGACTCACACATGCGCACACAGCTTTAGGAGGGAAATTCTAAGGGAAATTTTTGTCGATCGTGCTGCCGTAAGTTGTGAAAGCGCTTTTACGCTTTGATTTTTAATGGGAAATTTTGAAATGAGGAAAATTATTCAATACTGCGTTGGTGTGGGCCCCCCAAATCCGTATGTGTGTGTGTGTGTGTGCGCGTTGCCTTGCGTTGATTCTTGGGGTCGCTTTCTGGGCTAAGCGAGTCGGTCAGCATCAGTGTTCTCGGGGTTTCGACAGCGTATAGTGTGTTTGAAACGCTAAGGTTGGTCTCACGCCAGGATTTTGCACCACAAAAAAGAATATTAACACCAATATATAATATATAATACAAATAAAATAACTGATCATTTATTGGTATTTTCCATGCAAAAATAACCAAAAGAAATAACCTGCAGTATAGTGAAAAGTGCATTGCATCGAAATGCATTCAAGCAAAGAAAATGTACAATTGCTTTTTCCAAATGAAAACCAATGTGCATATGTATATGTGTCAAATAATATCCGAACGAAAAAAATAAATGGTTAAATATAACAAGAACAAATGTTATAAAAATAGTTCACAGAGTGACGCAAATTTAAACTGAACCTGCATAAACCCAAGTGATTAAAAGTCAATAAAGAGGAAACTCGCAACAAATTAAATTCCGCTGAAGAATATCCATAAAATACAATCTTCAAATCTTCACATTCTTTGATGATTTTCTCGGACATTTTAAAAATTCGCTTATAAGGAATTTTGTAACTAAATCTGACGGCACACCAATGCACACAACCATGATGTTTGTGTGTGTGTGTTTTGCACACACATGTGGGGGAAAGCTCCTCTCAACTATGGGACACATATACATATGCACACTACGCACAATTTTCACACACACAGAGCAAGCATTTTCCGCTAGAAAAACTCTTTAAAATTAACTGCAGACAGACACCTGCCTGTCACAAACACATACGGACGCAATTTATTTTTAACTTTAGTGGAAACTTAGACGAAAAAGCTTTTCCTCTTCTCCACACTCATTCGCTCATTTTCCTCAAGCTTTTTGTGATCCCAGCGAACGAACAGCAGCGAAAAGACGAAGGCAATCGAAATATTTTTGTATTTATCCTTGAGTTTGTTTTTGGGCTAAAGAGAGAGAGAAGGAGAGAGCTTCTTTGGAAATTATTAGAAATTGAGAATTCACAGATGTACAGCAGATACATAAATATATTCATCTATAGCATACAGATACATATCGGTGTATATATGTTGAACTAGTGGATAAATGTAGCTGCCACCCACACGGAATTCGAACAAATATTTTCTTGCCATTTATGAAGGCTTTTCTTGGTCTCGAAGGCCAACAAAAATTTGTCTATTCTTTTAGATGAAAATGGTCTGATTTTAAATTGAACGAAAGATTATTTTTTGGAATATTATTCCTAATATTTTAGCTGAAAAATCATCCAATCATTTAATTATAAATCATACTAAAGAAACTAGTCCAAGACTTGGCTTTAAGTTTTACCAGAATCCCTTCCGTTCTGCTCTTTTTATCTGCTACGATTAGTTAGTAATGTGTTCTCAGATCTTGTCTATGTACTTCCTCGATTAAATACTAGTTTTTACATCTTACCGCTACCAAAAACATTCTTTCTGCACATAAATCTTTTACCACTTCTCATACAGAAACACCTTTTAATATTCTCCATAAACCTCTGCTACACTTCCAGAGCTTCCCTATATTCCCTTTCCCCACAAATGTATCTATAGCCAAGTCATAAGTATCGAAAGACCTCCAAAAGAGCAGCTAACTACAACATAAATGACTTTGTCCCACTTCTGGCAGCAGGAACACAAATACACCTATAGCACCCACACATCCGATGACCCCAAAGAATTGAAAACTTTTCAAATTGCAATCTCTGGGCATCTCCCTCTCTCTCTATATGTATTTCCCCATATATATTTGAGTGTGTATTTCGAAATATTGGGTAGGGGCAAAACTCTAGAATTACATTTAGCACACAATGTCCAAAAAAGCATTGCCCATGGATGCGTGTCTGTGTATCCAGTCCACGGATATTTTTCACATGCAGAAGCATATAAAGTTTATTTTTAAACCTTCAGAATCGTGCAGCAAATAAATATATAGCACAGCGATAGCCACTGGCATAGCCATAGCCATCGTCCGGGTATTCGGATTCAGAGTGGGCGTATGGAAAAATGGGAAAAATTACGTTAGAGCTTATAAATGCTCTCCGACAAACAAAATGTGTTTACATTTAAATTTTCAATTTATTTCCAAGATACATATACACCGAATGTATAATTAAACGCCTGTGGATATATAGTTTGATATGGATATATGTATGTATGTAGATGAAGCGATCTCGAATGCGCCTGGAGTGTTTCGAGTAAACATTCCAAATACTCAAATGCATTTTTCAGGTGTGGAATCGGTGGTATGGGAAATTGGTTAGGTGTCAAGTGAAATATCACAGAAGTAATTATGTATACATATTTTTATGTTCATATTCATAAATTATGGGTATCTATGTCTATGTATTCACTTCATAATTATGGGGAAAAACTTCTTCGAAAACGAAAATTTAAGAATTTTGATCGCTCATTTGTTGCCTTTACAAAAAGCCAACCTTCAGCCATTCAAAGAAATTTATGGCCGTTACTCCTCTGGCTTGTTATATTGTCTCTAGATGAGACTGAACTCTGACAACAGTTTAGTTCTCATTCAGGGTATGAAAATTAAAGGATTATTCAACTTAAAGACTGATGAAAAATATAAAAAGAAATGTGCTTATCAGCAGACTTTTAAGAGACTCTTCTTTAATGGTTTTAATCACCAATGAGGATACTTTTTTGACCACATCTACATCATTCATAAAAATAAATAAGGGAACATTTGTGGACCAAAAAAAAAATCAACTTTTTGATGGTTTCTCTAACATTTAAGCACTCAAACTTGGGAAGCAAAAATGGGAGCCATATCTAAATATAAAACTTGCTATAATATCAAGTAAAACTAAACAATTTATCAGCTTTAAACAGCCATCAAATATATCTAACCGAAATTCCTTAAATTCGTTTTTTTGCAGTGCTTTTTCCAGTTTTCTTCCCTTCTAAGCCAATAACAAACAAAAAACACAAACACCATGGACGCCATCAAGAAGAAGATGCAAGCGATGAAGCTTGAGAAGGATAATGCCATTGACAAGGCAGATACCTGCGAGAATCAAGCGAAGGATGCCAACTCCCGCGCCGACAAACTCAATGAGGAAGTGCGCGATCTGGAGAAGAAGTTCGTCCAGGTGGAGGTCGATTTGGTCACCGCCAAGGAGCAGCTGGAGAAGGCCAACGCTGAGCTGGAGGAGAAGGAGAAACTGTTGACCTCCACCGAGTCTGAGGTTGCCACCCAGAACCGCAAGGTGCAACAGATTGAGGAGGATCTGGAAAAGTCTGAGGAACGCTCGACCACCGCTCAACAGAAGCTGCTGGAGGCCACACAGTCGGCCGATGAGAACAACCGTATGTGCAAGGTGTTGGAGAACCGCTCCCAGCAGGATGAGGAGCGCATGGACCAGCTGACCAACCAGCTGAAGGAGGCCCGCATGCTCGCTGAGGATGCCGACACCAAGTCCGATGAGGTATCCCGCAAGCTGGCCTTCGTTGAAGATGAACTTGAGGTCGCTGAGGATCGTGTCCGCTCCGGCGAGGCCAAGATCATGGAGCTTGAGGAGGAGTTGAAGGTGGGTTCCGTCCACCCAAATTCTGGGCTAATTCTCTGCCACTAACGAATTTGTTGCTCTCTTGTAGGTTGTCGGCAACTCCCTGAAATCTCTGGAAGTGTCCGAGGAGAAGGCCAACCAGCGTGTGGAGGAATTCAAGCGCGAGATGAAGACCCTGGCCATCAAGTTGAAGGAGGCCGAACAGCGCGCTGAGCACGCTGAGAAGCAAGTGAAGCGCCTGCAGAAGGAGGTCGACAGGCTAGAAGGTAGGTTTCCGCTCCACATTCCACGATATTTACCAATCAGATTCAGATATCTCTCAATGAGTTGCTGTACGAATTGAAGGCTTCAACTAATGCTCGCATTGTATATATCACCAAACGGATTAATATCTGTTTCTCAATATTTATTAATAATAATTAATTAATACTCTGCTTACATTAATTGATGTAATATATATACCCCATAAACCCCATATCTCTCTCTCTCTCTCTCTCTATATATATGTATATATATTTGTATATAAATGAACAAAACAACAAAATGCCTTTTGCAGACCGTCTCTTCAATGAGAAGGAAAAGTACAAAGCAATCTGCGACGATTTGGACCAGACATTTGCCGAACTTACTGGATATTAAAAAGAAAAGAAAACGAAACACAGAACTCCCCACAGAACCCTTACCCGTGCCCTCAAAAAAGATTACCACCCCGCCTACAGTTTACTATATCAATTATATCCCTGCCTCCAGACAGAAATCAGTGTATTTATCCCACATTTTCTGTCACAGAATTACACTGTAAATAATTTGTTTAGTCTCCCGCTATACAACTTCCCACGACCTTAATCCAGTACACTGTAAAAATAAGTTCAGATCAATACCCAAATACCAGTTGCAGCGCTGTAGTTAATTATGCTTTCAACACACCAGGTGAATTTATCTATATGTACAAAATATTTGTTGCTGTGATGTGTATGTGTGATGGTTATACTGATGAGCAAACGATTTTCCTTGTTTTTGTGTGGCATGAACACGTTGTCTTGTCCTGTCTTGCCTCTACTCTACTCCACCCGGACACAAAACGAGACTCTCAATCTGTCTCTCTCTCTTTATACACTCGTATCTCGGTGTCTCTTTCTCTCTCTCTCTACCAATCTGTTTCTCATCAACTTCTAAAAGTCCCAAAATCATTCTACTCCGATGCACAAATTGATTTTTCGCTTAGGTTTTTGCTCATTCTCTCATGCAAAGACAGCAATGATTCGATAGATATTAGATCATAGATGCCCCGTAGAATACCCCCTATAGAATCCCCCACATACCCTGTCTCCCAAGACCCCTTTCCCATACAATGCTGCAAAAAATAACCCAAGAAACCTTTCAAAAAACGCTTGCCAGAACAGCGCGCCACTAAAACTTACAAAAAGAAAATCAACCAATTGGAAGGTTTGACCCGTGTTCTATGTTCGATTTTAATGTTGCAAGCTCCACATTGAATACCAACTGATGATCTAACGTTCTACCTTTCATTTGTTGCAATTCACAGACGAGTTGGGCATCAACAAGGACAGGTACAAGTCTCTTGCCGACGAAATGGACTCCACATTCGCCGAGTTGGCTGGATACTAAGGAACCCCACCCGGGAGCCTGGGACCACAACGAGGAGAAACATCAACACCAACACCAATAACAACAACGGAGCAGAAACAAGAGGAGAAGGAACTCTACTAAAATTCAACGAATATCTCAAAATGATTTTGAAAACAACATCCAAACCAGATACCATCAGATACCAAGAACAACATCCATTGTGTATTAAATTCTTTATATAAATCTATATATTTCTTAATAAATAAATAACAACAACACCAGCATTGATAGTAGCAGAACCAAAGAGAAAAACAACAAAATTAATTTAGTTATTTTTTATTTTTTAAAACAATAAAATAGTCAAAGGAGTCAGCAGTAGAATAATCCACGTTTGAGCAGCAGAAAGTAATAGTTAATTCCCACCCAGCGCATCCGAATATTTATTTTTTATTTTTAAAACAAATTTTTAAAAATATTAAGAGAAGAAAAAAAGCAAACAGCGGACACACAATAAGCGAGAGAGAGAGAGAGAGAGATAGTTGCTGTTGAGAATGATTTTTTGCTTAAAATTTGAATTTATATTATTAAATTACACAAACAAAAGAAAATCCAAAAAAAGTATACAAAAAAATTTATAAAAAATTTGCTAAAAAAAAAACAAATTATATGTTTGATGTTTGCTTTTAATGAGAAAAAATTGATTTAATTTTCTTGGCCAGAAATCGAACAGAAAGAAGTTGTCAAAGTCGAAGTCAGCGCTGATTATGCAAAAGTTTTTTGGTTTTTTGGTTACCTTTTCTTTGTTTTTGGGAAAAGCCCCATTTGAAGTGGAGTCAAAAAAAAAACCCAAAAACTCTTAAAGTGCGTCATCACTTGAGAGCAACAGCAAATGGGATCACCGATCCGATCACGGATCACACGAAAGAGACAAGCCACCAAAACGGAGGCCTTCATTGCAACATCGTTAACATGCGCGCTAATTGTCAAAGTAATGAATAACGAAAGCTAAGATATACATATAACGATCTACATATGATATCGAGTGTACTCATATCTTCAGGGTAAACTCTGTTTTCGAGAGATCTTTGCTCGATGTGGGCAGTAGCTATGACCATCAATAATCCAGGTAACGCTGACATGAAAATGGAGGTCTGTCGCTTCTGTCTGTCTGTCTGTCAGCCAAATTGATTCACCTTTCATATTAATGCGGCTTTAATTCCCCCTTTGGCTCTCTGTAATGTGTTTCTCTTTCCTCGTAGCTCTTTCTTTTTTTTTAGTGTTTTTTCGCAGTTCCATAAAATAGTTATTAAAACTTTAAGTGGCGCATTAAATTGCACATTATAATGTCCAAGTCATGATTTATATAAGCAATATAATGCGTTGATTATGAAAGGGGATTGAGATTGGGTAAATATGATAGAAACTTTCCCTAAAGAACTTGAACTGAGGAACTGAAGTTTGGAATTGGCGAATCCGTTCCATAATTTACTATTTTATGAAGCAGAGTTTGTTGATTCAAAGCAAAGACTAGAATCGGAACTTTTAATAATTAATTAACAATAAAAGCAATAACTCAATATTTGTTCTCAAAGCAAACATATTTATAACAGAAATAAGAAAAGATGTTCCTGACCATTTTTACCTCTAAATGAAAGTCATAATTATAATACAAATATATGTAAACTAAAACTAGATCATATTTCTCATAAATAGTGTAAATTTTTAAGAGAATTTTAGGCCCACAAAAACAGATACCCCTCCCGTATATACCCCATTAAACTGCTGTCCACATCTAAATGTAAACCAAAATAATGAATACATTTTCATTTCCATTGATTGTCTCTCCCCACTAGACCCACAATTATCTAAGTCTGAATGAAAGCAATTTAATGGAGTGCAAATAGTGCCGCAAAGTCGCCAGTCCATGAGTATGTCAAAAAGCGGGCGTGTTGATGGCTAAAAAAGCTACGGAACGACTGAAATAAACACTCTACAAACAGTCAGCCAGCCAGTCAGGCCAGGCCCAATGACTTACATTTGTAAAGAGCCCGAACTGAAGGAGAAAGTGAAATTTTTGCATTTCTCAGTGAGCAGCGGCGGCGAGCGGCTCTCCACAACAAGTCTGGGCCATTGCCATGGGCCATTGACAGCGACTCAGACGACCGGCTTTAGACCAAGCTGAAGTTCAGCTCAAACTGCGGTTCAGTCTTCATTCAGTCAGAAACGAAACAACAACGCAGGCAGCTTTAACCGCACGGAAAACGCATCAAAATCGAAAGTGCTTGTGGCCCGCGCGCGAATCGCGACTCGAATCGCCAAGTGCTCCGGAGGGGTATGCATCATATAAACAGTGCGTGTCATCAGCCAGGCCATCATATGTCACCGGCTAGCAAACAGACAGCCATCCGGCTTCGGCTTCGACTTCGGCTTCGGCTTGGAGCTGCTGTTTACCTGGTATTTTTATGCCTTCTGGCCCATGGGCCATCGTTTGCCTTATGTAATGGCAGCGATGGTGAAAATATGCAAAAATACGCGAATGAATCACTTACCGAGGTGGAGGCGGACGCAGACGCTCCCATTTGGTCGCAGTTTCTCCAAGATTATGTTTTGAGGTGTGTGTTTCCCCATAGGTTTGCCCTGAGATCACCCTCGGAATTGACCGTTATTCCTTACAGCCAAAGCAGCAGCCAGCGCACGTCCAAGGATCTGCCGTATATGGGTGGCGGGGATATGGGCATGAGCATGTCCATGAATGGACCCCTCAACTATCATTCGTCGGCTTACAAGCGACCCGGGAACAACATTTACATTACGCGCCGCATAGGCGAGGCTGTGGAGCTGGAGCCGCATTTGCGCAAGCCCGTGGAGAGTCAGAGTCCCCTTGTGAATCCTCAGTTCCGGCCGATGACCAATCAAATGTTGCACCAACAGCAGCAGCAGCACATGCAACAGCAGCAACAACAACAACAACAACAACAACAGCAGCGTCAGCAGCCAGGCTTCCTGCAGCAGCTCTTTGGCATTGGTGGCAGCTCCGGGGGAGGCAATTCCAATCCCAATCTGCCGCCACAGCAGCAGCATCTGCGGCCAGTGCCCCTGCAGCAGCAGCAGCAGCAGCAGCAACAACAGCATCTGCAGGGCAGTGGCCAGCCGACAACATTCCGCGCTGTGTCCGAGAATGATCTGTATCTGCTGGGTGCCATCGAGAAGCTGGTCTATCGTGTTGGTAAGTCAAGCGAAAACTTTCCCTTTCAGCCATAAACCATGACTAAAATGCTTTCAGATTACTTGGAGAGTCGCGTGCGTCGTTCAGAGCAGTTGATCTACTACCTGATGGCTGGCAACAATCAGAAGGAGGTGAAGGATCCCTGTCCCACGAACTTCACGCGCATCAGCGACAACTGCTACTACATCAATAGCCAGCAGCAGGTAAACTGGAAGACAGCCAATTCAGCCTGCAAGGCGCTCAACTCGCATCTGGCAGAGTTCGAGAAGGTCTCGGAGAACGAGGAGATCATGGCCTATTTGCTGAATCAGCCGACGCACAGGGGACGCGACTACTGGCTGGGTGGCCTCAACCCGGGTCTGCTGTGGATCTGGTCCAACTCGGCCAAGCCTGTGAATCCCAACACGAATCTCACATCGATAGCCATGGCACAGAAGAGCGATAATGCCACGGCCACCAATCTAGTGGAGAGCGCCGAGGAGCCCTCAGAGGACAGCAGCAGCAGCAGCAGCAGCGATGTGCTCAACAACACAGTGCAGATCGAGGGCAAGGGTCGGTGTCTGCGGCTGAGCTACAATGCTGGCAAGCACAGCTACGTGTACTATGGCCAGGAGTGCACTTCGAGGCACTATTACATCTGTGAGCACGAGGACAAGACGCTGGATAACAAGATCAAGAAGATATCCCGCGAACTGAAGCTCTTCGATGGAACAATTGACTCACACATGTGATAGGCACTGGCACTTCTAGTTAATTTTCTAGCCATATATAAACGTAAATTTCGAATGAATTTATTCTTGTGTTAAACGTTAAATATTTATAAATATCTATACACTTAAATAAAACATAGTTGATAGTGTTCAAAACGTTTTAAGGATACTTTGTGCTGCACAGCAAAGCTTGAATGGGTGAAGGGAAGGTCTAAATAACCTAAAGGGAAACCTCTGCGGCTGTGCCGCATTCGGTTCACAAAGCCAAAAAGCAAACATAAATTGTACACAGAGCAACGACTGTGTTTCTGGAGAGAGATCGTAACTTATGGCCACGCCTAGTCTGGATATAGATAGTCCTGCAGTATGTTCTGGAAAGCAATCTTAATCTTGCCACGATCGCGCCCATTCAGCTTCTGTATGTCCGGCAGCAGACTCATCAGGAACATGGCATCGGAATCGGTCTTGCAGTCGCACAAATCCACGCCGCCGCCTCCATTCGCTACCGGTCCAGCCGAGTTGTTTGCCTCCAGGCGCAGCGACGGCGCCGCCTGATGATGGTTGTGCAGATGCCGCTGGCTCATGTAGCCACTGCCACTGCTGCTGCTGGCCATTGTGCCCACCATGGGTGTAGCTCCTCCAGTGGCTAAATTCGATGGAGTTGGTAGTTCCATATCGGATGGTGCGAGAGTCCCTGGAACAGCTCCGCCGCTGTGCGTTGTGGTGCTGACTAGATCCACGGGCTTGCTAAACGTTGGACGTACAAAGGAAATGTTCAAATGAGTCGTGGGCTGTGCAGGGAAATTGACTCCTGAAACTGGAGCAGCTGCAGCGGGCGTTGGCAGCTCCTGCGAGCGTGGACGACTGCCACGCCCTTCGTCCTGGTAGGCGCGTATCTGGAGGCGATTATGATGCATCCGATTGCTGTTGTGTGGCTGCTGAGCGCCATAACGTCTGTGTGCCTCGGCCGCGGTCGAGGTAGCCACAGCCGCCGCCACACTGGAAGTGGGTGCAATTTTATGCATCTCATGATCCTCGTGTTCGTCTTCGTCATGGTCTGGGGTCTCCTGGTCGAACTCATCGACCGGCTCCTCGCATTCGGACTTGATATCGTTGCTGTCCAGCTGGTTGTGGTACCGATTGCGTCCCTCCTCCTCCATGAGGTCCTCCAGCTCCGAATTATTTTGCTCATTCTCGTCAAAGTAGTCCAAATAGTTGTCCAGCGGCTGCGGCTGGGGACTCTGCAGTGACGAGGGTGTCGGCTGGTTGGTGTTGCTGCTGCTGGTGGTGGTGCCGATGGTGGTCACGGTGCGCTCTCTTTGCATGCGATTCGACAGGCTGGAGAGATGCGCCAGGGCGTCCTGCACCTGGGTGTCCAGCGATTTGGGCTGCTGATGCTTCTTGCGGAGATACGGATGCAGAAAGAACATACGATCGAAGTACGACCAGCAGGGAGGAACTTTCTCCTCCAGATAGTTGGTATACTCTCGCCGAAACGAAATGCGCAAATTTGTCCATTTGGCAAGACTGGCGCCGGGATTTTTCTCCAGCTTCAGGTCGACCTCCCTCCAAAAGTTCTCCACGTACGGGCGGCAGAAGTAATACTTGTGCCTGGGATTGTAGATGGCCTCATCCCGTTGCACAACATCGATCAGTTTGAAGACTTCCTCCGTCAGCCAACGGGATGCACTGCAGCTGGCATTCGCGTTATTCGACACGAACTGACTGTTGCCAAAGTCCCCGGTCATTTTGGTTTGGGATCCTGGGCGTGGTTGGATTACTCATCAATGGAATTGACTTCACTTGCCGTTTTCAGTTTTTGCCATTACTTTCGCAAAACATTTTTATTGTTTTTATTTATTAATTCTTTTTTTTGGTATTTAATCGCTACAGGGAATAGGATTGCATGTGACTGTTCAAACTTAACACACTGAACCCCCAAATTTTAAATAGGTAAGTACTTTTGCCAAATTTTGCGAAATAAAACTGCTTGTAAATGTTTATTGCAGCCACTAATAAATACGGCTTAACTGCGTTAAAAATCTTTAAGTTTCTTTAATTTCTTAGTTTGCACTTAAACACTTATTGGTCAACAGAAGGTTAATCGGTCTCTGTCAATGACATATTTACTCGATTTTAATATTCTCTTTAATAATGCCATCTAACTTAGACTCTCAGCCGTGGAACTACAATTTTCTACGATTGTACAATACATTCGCCACAAGATTGGGCTTCTCTTCATGACTTCTTTTATTGGATTGATTATAAAAATAACGATTTTGCTGAGAGTTCGAAAAAAAGGAAATAAATAAACGCTACGTTTTTAGAATGTTTTGTTACGTTATTTGACAATTTGTTGCTGGCCACCCAGTAGGAACATACCTTTGTGTACCCTATTTCCATTATTTAATATAAACATTTCGTTTTCAAATCTGCTCTTAAACATAAGAATGCCTTAATGTTTTTATATTATGTTCCAACGCAGATTTACTTGTTTTTACATTGATTAGAGCCAAGGATTTCCAGCATTTTCTGAATTCGAGGACACCCTTCCCTCCTATTAAATGTTGCATATTCCATGAGAAATGTTGGAGAACAAGTCTGCTTAGTATTCGCAGCATGTTGCTGGGCCATACAAATTATGTTGCCAACTATCAAATACGTAAGTGGTGATGACTGTAAGTAGTTATAATTGGTAGTTATATAAGTACTTAGAAAGGGAGCAATTATGAAGTTTTTGTTATATATATGTTTAAGTTTGTACTAGGAAAGTAACTTGTTTTATATTTTTTTATTGTCATTTTCAGTTTCTAAGTTATATTATAAGGGGAAATTATGAAGGAATAATTTAAGTTCGCGGCCAACAGTAGCCAATAGCAGAGCAGAGCAAAGAGAACGGCGACGCGAGCCAACCGCAGCAGATCAAGGACCGCGGGCCCTCCAACGGCGCGTGCCTGTCTCCGGAACGGGTACCTTCTAGGTACTATCAGGGGCACTCGAGCCGGAGCAGACAGGGGCGGCTACACTGTCAGAAGGCGCCTCTGCTAACCCTCGGATGACCGGTGTCGACCAGGTCCTCCTTTCCGCCCATACTCCCACCCCTCCACGCACGGCGTCCCCATTCCGCAATCTCGGGTCCCGGCACTTGTAGTATGCAACGTTATTGAGCTGGTGGAAGGTGATGAGCTTCTACGAGTCGGTTTATGAAACAATAGTGAAAAGAAACAGACAGAACAGAGACAAAACTCCTAGCTTCCAGACTTTTCTTTTGTGGCGCAAGATGGAAATGCGGCCACGAATGCCCTCCCTTCCATGATCGCTATAATCCAATAAAGTTATACGGCGATCCCAAAAAAAGGTCTATGCCGCAATACCTCTGCCTACGTTCCCTACACGACGCATGACCCCCTCAAGTTAAGCGCACTTAGCAGGAGTTCATATTAACGCTTATAGCTAAATTTATTCAACATCGCAAAACACATCCAAAAGTATCGATTTTACACTCGATTTTGAAACAACTTATGTCGATTTACCCAAATATAAAAAAAGGAAAATAATATAAAGTAGGAAAGAAAATTATAAAAATATATCAAGGAAAAGGTAAGTGTATGTATGAATATAATAGGTGAAATGTAACATTAAATTAAGATACGATTATTGAATATGGAATATAAATGAATGGGACTAAATATAATAATGAAAAGCATATGTTCAAAAAAAAAGGAGGAAAACAAAAAAAAGCTTTTTTTTTGGCTATTGTACTTTTCGTTTTAGTTTCGCCATGTAAGCAACTGCATGGAATGCATGGCGTGCACAAATTACAATAGCAGCAAAAGCAACACAGCTCTGGCGCTAGTGCATAAACTTTTATGCGGTGGTCGGTTCGTCTAGCGGGAAGAACGCACCAAAAGGGAACAAAAAAAAATGTGATCTTTTATCACTCACGGATTGGTATGCATGTATGTATGCTTACAGTACTCCCTCGCTGAAAGGCCTTTCGCTGGGGTTTTGAAGAAGCTGTGGAATATATTAATTATGGTTCCCTGTTGGCTTTATCCGACTGCACGTTATAGTTCAATATTTTTTTTTTTCAAACTTCTTTTTCCTTTCTTTCTTCTTTCACTAATGTCACATAATTAAGGGGGAATTAAAGGTCGTTAAATCAAATAGAATATACTAATAGAAAAGAGTAATAGCATTAACAAAATTTAAATTTAATTAATTATTAAAATAAAAGACGGTGCTTTAGGCTGTGATTGCAGCCTAAGATATAATGGTGGCCCTCTTAGCGATACGACACTGTCGGCTATGGCGCCTGCGCAGAGGTTACTGCAAGGTTACGTCATGGTCATTGTGAAGTTACATCATGGCTATGGTGTTACATAGGTTCTGGAGCCGGGCTTCCACTGGTCTCCCAAGAAAAATTCCCCACCCCTCAGCGTATTGCCAACAAAACGTCAATGCGCTGCTGCTCTGGCTGAGTGTGGGGGAAAGCGTAGCGAAGCCCTGGGGGGGGGAAGGAATACAGCCAAGAGCTATTATATGAACCTTTGTTCGAGTCTCTCCCACATTGGACCTACCAATCTTTCCGGGATTTCCGTGGATAATTTATATTTCTCTTCTGTCGTGGATGGCGTGGATTGAACGCCAGTCAAAAAATGTTGGGATTGCGTGGATTGCACGCCCGTCCAAAAACGTTGGGATGGCTCTAGGCCAGGTGTAATTTAAATTCACTGATATTTATATTCACTGCACGGCGTTCGTTTTTTAACTTTTTTCCACACACATGGTTGGTCGAAAAATTAACTCACCATCGGACGGGTCACGAACCGATCAGAATTTTAGATAGACGAAAAGAAGAATTTTTCTGGGGGGGGGGGGGGGGGGGGGGGGGGTCGTGCCGTTTAAATGCGATCGGAAGTGCTAAAACCGTGTTCTAAAAGCTTATGTTGACAGCTGTCATCAACGAAAGCTTCACCCAATCCGCTGATTTAACAGCTAAGCTTTGCGGAGCTAAGCTTTGATTCTGTCAGCATAATTTATCTAACTTTATCGCATGCGATAATATCATTCGCTGCTTGTAATTATTTTGTGTTCAGCTGCAACTCCCAGCGCCACTACACATACGCCCACCTTTCCACACACGGCGTCTCCATTTCCGCAATCTCGGGTCCCGGCACTTTACAAATTTCTTTGTAAGGTGGCCCTGGAGAGGCTGAGCTACCTCAGCCTTCGAAAAGACTACCTTACAAACATCGTATAATCTGTTCAATTAAGCCAAACCATCAAACGGAATAAACTATGTATAACTTTAAATAAATAAACCGTCAGTGTCCTTTCTTAAAAAGAGGACTCTGCAATTTTTGGAGGCTGTCTCTAATCGTAGATCAACGTGCCAAAAGTTGGCTGATTTGGAAGCACCAATAATGACAATACTCTGCTCGGCGTGCCTTTACTATCCTGAAACTCTTCGCAGAGATCACTGGAATTGACTTCAAGCTGATTTCAAATCTTAAGACAATCTTGACAATCTTAGGACAATCTTGTCTCTCAAGTCAGTTGACTTTAAATGTGGTCAAATATTAAACATTTTGCTTTAATACTGCGGAATCTATTGTTGACCTGTATCCATGGCTCCCGATGACTGCCACCGTTCACAAAATTCTTCACCATTCAAAATAAATAATTGAAAACACTGTTCTACCTGTGGGATATTTTGCAGAGTCGGATCAACTTCATCATGCAAGGAAGATCAGCCGAAAAGAAAATTTCACGGACATGTTCCACAGGTCTATGGATACCTCAGATACGATAATTTCATCTTTAAACCTCGTCAGGCGTATACAAATGCAACAAAATAAGTCCCTACCAACTGAGGCTTTAAATCTTTTATCAAGCGAGTTTAATAGTTCAGGAAGAGTTGAACAGGATACAATTAGTTTCGATGAGCTGGCTGAATATCAGTTCGAATTTGGAAGTAGGAACATGGACCACGAAAACGAATTCCAAGAGGATTCTACACAGGTGTGATAGAAAACATATTATATATCGTCGCCTAGCAACAAATTTGGAAAAAAGTAAATGTAAAAACAAATGTAAAATTTAAAATTTAAAAAAAACCGTTAAGGTACAGATGTTCTACCGAGTACCGGGTATAAAAGTTGTGACGCGTATCACACGTTCCTTCTCGTTATTTCTGTACCTGTAAGCATAGACATATCCATGGATTTATTATCATTTGAGGCTGAGAATGTGGCATCACTATCGCCATTGGGATATAGCCATCACGGGCTTATATACCCGCGCGTATAGGGACAATAGGGAGCAGTTGTTCCCAACCATTGAGGAAATAAATCCACCGGACAATGTGCGCGCCGTCAACGTTCAAAAGATGACACAAATCCAGGCTGTAGTACGACGCAAGTTGGCCCTGGACGGAATCCCATTCAGCCTGACACGCACATAAATAGTGGAAGGCTGGAGGTGTATGGACAATCCCCTAAAAAATATTCTGGAGGTATTCCGGAAAATTAATATAAATCATCCTGACATATTGTCAAACACGTTGGCCTCTATTCAAATTTTCAGCTGGGTTCTGAGCATGATGGTGAGCTTGATGGACCCCAGGGACTAGCACCTAATCGAAAATAAAATCAAATACTTTTTCCGACTTTACTATTTAATTCCTATTACAGAGAATAGAGACCCTCATATGCATATCCAGTCGAGAGTGTTTGTGAAGTAGGACTAAGAGACCTGCAGTACTTAGAAGTAGAAATCTAAGGTTGTGCGGCAGCCTCTTTCCCCCCTTTTCGGGGATTGTGTGAGTAGAGCGTGTGAATACATATACAGACACATATTAACGCGCTGATTTTTTATTCATTATTCATTTACCATATCATTGGGTGATAATTTCAAAGATATTGCAGATTAATATTATAATTTACTATGTCGTCCGCTAATAAAAAAGACAACAGCAAAACAAGTAGGAGATGCATTATTTCTTCCTGTCTTTGTGGTTATAGAAAGAGTTCGTCCGATTTCCCTGTGAGGCTATTTTCATTTCCAAAAGATCCATTTTTATTATAAAATGGATTGAGGCTTGTAATGTAGAAAGAAGGATTGTAAAAAAATGTTCACCCGTTTCTGAAAGGCATTTTGAGGCTGGGTGGTTAGGAAGCCTTCAACTAAAACCGAATGCAATTTCAACATTAAACTTATCTGAAAATTCATTATTAACTCCAACGCAGAATGTCCAATAGGACATTTTGAGAGGACCAAAAAATTAGCTTGGCTGATGTGCCAGTGCCATTTTCAAACGATGTAGAGCAACTTTGCGTAAAAGAAGCGCCTGAAGCTACATTTCAAAATAATGAATCGGTTGATATTGAGTTTTGTGAGAACTGCTTAAAAAAGGGGAAAAACTAGGCATATTGGCTGATCAACGAAAAAAATAGGTAGGCTTTTAAAAATCGAAGAAGCAGTTTGTGGCCTTAAAAAGAGTTTTGTCTCGCAAGAACAGGCGTCTCAGAAGTAGAAAGCCTAACTCAAAATCAAGTATTATTCCTATAATTGCCAAGCTGTCTCATGTTTCTGCGGAAGCAAAAACTCATAGACTTAAGCCACTGCCACTACCTTAAACTGTTTTCCGTATAACTTTTTTGAACATAGTTCATATTATGTCCCTAATATGTCACAAATTGATCTATCTGGCCATACTGTGTGTCAGTTTTGCCTGCCTCTGATTTAAGTATTAGGCCCTGCTGTGTTCCCCAAGCTTTGCATGCCTCAGCTGTTCTGTTTCCTAGTCATTCAGTTTTTTATTTTTTGATTAATCTCGAGCACAGTAATAACTCTAAAAAATAAAATTATTTTCAATACGGCTAATTTTATTGTGTGAAAAAAAAGCGCTGGAACAAACAGATACTGATAGGAACTAGAAACCAGAGATTGAACGCCAAGTACAGGTAACAGGAGGCAGCCGTTATTATTCAAGAGAGACAAGAAGCAAGAGGACATACGACAAGTGGCCGATGTTGTGCATCGGTCCGGGCGTATCCAAAACCGAAATTTAGAAAGATTAGAAAATATAGTAAACGCACATATTACACAACAGCAGCAAATGGCGAATACTATTAGTCGGTCGAGGCGGAGATGCAACCAAAGGTATAGGGCCAGAGAGCATGCATTATATCACTTCTTTCACCAACACGCTCATTTGAGCAGCCACTTCTTAGAGCCGATACAGCACGAGGCATGTGGTTGATCAAAAGACAGAAGGAGCATGCACTATATCACTTCTTTCTCCGACTTGAGCAGCCACTTCTCAGAGCCGATACAGCACGAGGCATGTGGTTGATCAAAAGACAGAAGGAGGCATGTGGTTGATCAAAAGAAAGAAGGAGGCATGTGGTTGACCAAAAGACAGAAGGAGGCCGAGTGGTTGACCAAGAAACATGCATTTATCACTTCTCACTAGTTTTGCCAATTAAGCAGTGTGACCGCAAAATTATCGACAAAATATACCGTAAGGGCGTCGAAAATATACCGAAATATACTTTTTATTGTTAAAATATGCCGTTAAATATACCGTGGAAACAACATTTACTTATTTAAATAAAATCGTATCAAAATCGTATTTTCCTTTATTGGAGATAATTTCTTTCCTTTCTTCTTAGTAATAATAATTGAAAGCATAAACCTACACTATTCACTATCATCTCTTTCAATATGCTTTGGATTTACAAACAGCAACTCTTTATCTTTATTTTCACATCCATGTTTTTCTCGAAGATTCTGTGTGTTTTTGAATCCGTTTCTAATATTCGTTTTTTTAGGATTAACCTCAGAGAATATTCTCTCACACGAAGCATTTGATACTAGCAAAATGAGCATTGCTTGAGCTAGTTTCTAAATATTGTCATACTTGAAACAGTTATTATAATCTTTAATGTTGATAAATTTATGCCAGAAAATGCCAGGACTTTAGCATTTACTTATTAAATCGAAGAGACCCTCTTCATTTTTTAAGAGGACAAATACGTTGTTGATCAGTTCAGCAGCTTTAATAAGGTCAGGAAATCTCTGGCATAGGTCATGTAAATCCGTAAGTTGTTCAGTAACTATGTTTTCTGGGTTAAGGAACGAAAGAATTTTGAAAACCTTTTCGTTGAAAGGCAACCCTTTCTTTAGTTGGGTACATAACTCTTTTAAAAAAGACTGCGCTCGTTGAAGAAATTAATGTTATTCGGTTCTATCCAATTTCGAAAGTTCGAGGCTAACTTGAATGCCTAAATTCATATTTTGTGATTCTACGAAATGAACAGAGTTTTTTGGATCAATTAAAGTTATGTTTGTATTCCTTATATATTAATCTTTTAAGTAACAGCTTAATATTAATTTTTAAGTCTCAGTCATGTTTTTTAATTTTTAAATGCGTTGAAGCTTTGCTAGACTGAAAAATTATGTTAAATCTGATTATTATGGGTAAAATATAATCAAGAAAATAAAAGTAATGTTTTACTGTTAAGTTTTTCAGATTTGAGAGGGTAAATTCGGCAGAAAAAAATTCAAACAAAAAAAAGTACAAGGGCATCTCACTGCTCAAGCATACGTGCAACACAAGAATGTAGGGACAACCAACGAATTTCATAATGGTTAAGTATTTGGTGCTCTGGAGAATTTATGAATTTTTGAAACAGTTTAAATTTTCGGTGTCGCTTGGAGCTCTTAGTTGTTTGCTTAGTGATAGTATACATATCAACACTGTGCAGGTGCTATTACAGTCCTCTACACCACACCTATTTCATCTCCTTTCCGATTTGCATCTTCCAGAAGTGTGTCCCAGCCTACCACAGTAAAAAAATTGGCGCATTTTCCATTGGTATACAATAAACCTCAGTTCAAATTTTCTCCTTGCATTTTTTTTAATTTAAATTTTCCTTCATCTTTATTTCTGTTGAACCTTGTGGAACTCCTTTTATAATTAAATACGACACTAAATAGCTATCGGTATAAATGGGAGTTTGTTCATTGTTTTCAACTTCACCTTTGTAACTAATTCATTTGCATCCTCATATTTTTCGGAACATTTTTCAACACTTTCAATCCTTCAAATATTATGTTAAACATTTGGCTATTCGCTGTCATTGGTATGTAGAAATTGTGTAGTAGTAATGTATAAGGTCATAAGGTATACAATCCAATAAAACGGAGTATTTGAAATAGGCCAAATTGATTCTCCAAACGGATTAAATTATTCTTTCAGTGTTAAAAGTCTTCGCAAGCTAGTAAAATCAAATAGAACATAAAAATCGAGGAATATTATTTAAGACTACGGTATATTTACGGTATATTTTTAAAATGCGAAGGTATTTTTTTTTTATATTTGTGAGGGTCCCACGGTATATTTTATCGACAATTCCGCTGTCACACTGCTTTCGTGGTTTTTTATAAATGATTTAAATTGTCACTAATTCCGAACGCATACAAAAAGTGTAAGTCGTAGCCAGTTGGCTTAAGAAAAGTGTAAGGCTTAAGTTACATGTTCCAAACAATCAAATGCAGTAGAAAATGAATGCCGAAATGGCTCAAGAAAATTGCCGACGCGACAACGAACACACACAAGCGCACACATGCTCCGATAGATATGTACATGTACATGCAAGGGACGCACACGTATACAAATTGCTTGCAAATGGCGGATGCGTTCCCAACAAAAAAGAAAACTGCATTTAAGTGTGAAATGTAAAAATTGTTGACGTTGCAAGTGCGAGCAGAAACAACGGTATCGCATCAAATAAGAGTTGAAGAATATTCGAGTGTGCGGCAAGTGGTGTTGGGGTGTCTGTGTGAGTGCAGTGCAAGGTGTTGTGTTTGTGTGTCGTGTCGGACAGGCGGAGACAGTTGCGACGGCGGCAGCGACGCCCTTTTGTCTTCCTTCCACTCGTGACAGACCAAAGCGGGCCAATCGTTCTCTTGTAGAAACCACAAATTTATTGGTGTGCAATTATTCTTATTATCAGAGGCGTTTGCCAATTAGATTCCTAATTAGAGGAAAAAATCTTAATACGATGAATGGCATACTTTCACTTGTGTGCCCCGATTGCGATTTAATTATGAGCCAAAGGGACAGCTGACACAAAGAAAACCAGCAGCCGCCAGCGAGCTGAATTTATTTGTTTGATTTGCCAAAAACTTGTGCGCCGCCGTCTGGGCTGCTCCGCTGCGCCATGCCCTTGCCCCCTTCTGCCTGCACTAGTATTCTTATTAGAGATTTGTATCCAAAAAAATCATGAAATGAACATAATTGATGTCTGTCCTCTTTATTCGTGTCTTCTTTGCTCGGAAAATGTACACACTGTTGGCAGCCTTTTGCTGACCTCACTACACACATACATGCACGCATTCTCTGGCCCCAGCTTATCAAAAGCAACGGAAAGTGTGAGAGGGAGAGAGTAGCCTGCAGTCGGATAAATAATAAATGCACATCGGGTCGTTTCATTCACGTTCAATTGGCGATAAGGCCTTCGGGGAACTGTTATTCTAGGAAAACCCAATTGATAATCGGACTTACAGTATTGAAAAGTCACTTGTCTACGTCAGCAATCAATAATCATTAACGGACATCATATTCAATTAGCTTATTTATAGCCGTGAGACACACACAAACAGAGGCGCACATTTGTGAGTCACAGCTCTAGAAAATACTCCCAATTTGGGGCCCACCTTCCTTCTCTGGACCCAAATGGTGTCAAGTATATTTTTTTGGCTGACCTACCAATCTAAGACCAAAACTACAAACGAACTTGACGCTCCCACGCGAGAAGACAAAATCTCCCACAGGCAACGCGACTCTCTTTCCCTGCGGCCTGCAAAATATTAGCTTGCATGTTGCAAAAATATCATAAAAGAAGATTTCAGGAAGGAGAGCTTTCTAAAATTAAAACACTTGAGCCGCTTGCCGGCCGTGTCGCTTGTTCGCTGAAAATAGTAGAAGCGAAAATGCATTTATGAATAAATAAAAGAAAATAATGAATGAGTGTTGGCCGTGTGAGAGAGAGTGAGCGAGAGCGAGTGCGGAGCATTTGCACCGTTCAATAGTGTTGTCCCGATGAAGACAACTACAAATGGATGCATTCATGTCAAAATATGAAATACAACAGAAAATTCTATAAAAACAAGTTAATCCATTTCGAATAACTAAAGTTTTGCTAAGATTTCTTATTGGCAAATATAAAATCTTACTTCAGATTTCTTATTCCATTGCGTGGTCTCTAGAAATCTGACTTGGCGTGGAAACAAAAGCTAAAATGGCTGCACTGACTAACGGAAAGACAGAGAAATTCCATGTATTTTCATGTTGTTGCTGTCAACTAATTGAACACTGGGGCGAGTGAGAGAAAAAAGAACACAGAGAATTAGGCCAACTGTGTGCAGTGTGATGCCAGTTTGTAACCAGGGCGAGCAGCAAGTGCATATGTATGTACATATACATATGTTGCATGCTGCCAGACCGTAATACATATTTATTTATAGGATGGTCATAATGATAATTGGCAGTCAAAGCCTTCGACTTTCACACACACACACACTCGAACACACTAATACACGATCACACATTCCGTAGCGTTGCTCTTCCGGTTGATGACCTTTACCGGCGTTTTTATTGTATTATTTTTTTCATTCGCTTATGTATTTGTATGCCTCTTCTTACGTTGTGTCTGTGTGTATGCTCCGCTGGAGCGTTACTCCCAGCAGAAATACTGGTCCGGGGAGAGACTTGTCAGTGAAGTCTCTCCCACTTCTCATCGATTTACTGTTCGAATCGAAGCTGCTCTCATAGTTTCATCAAATATTAATTTGGGTTTATTGTAGTACAAATAAGACAATATTTGAACAAGAAAAGGTCTCTCGTCGCCCTCCTCCTCTCCATAAAAGAACAACTGATGGCATCAGCAAATAAGCAAACAAAATATGTGTTTCACATTCTCAAATTATTACTGTATAAGTCTTACAAAATATTACCGACGCAACAAAGTTGGGGTTTTTCTCAGAAATATGTATTTATCTTTCATGGGGGTTTCTTTTATTCCTATTCAGTACTTTTTTCTAAGATGTTAATTCATACATATGTATGTACATACATACATACATATGGACGTACATGTGGACAAGTTTGACTGTAAAAAAATTCCGGAACACTGTCAGAATCTTGAGAGAGCGGTTATCACTGAAGTTGGTGCTGTGCTGCTGGCGGCAGATATTCAGAGAGCAACAACCTTGAATTGAAATTTTTGCAATTTGTGAATTCCATTCTACTGCTGCCAGTGAAATTTCAAGTTCTAACTGTGGGCAGAGAGAGGCAGTGAGCGAGAGAGAGTGCGAACCACTTCTTCACGGTGAGTTGGCAGACCAGACTCAGACTCTCTCCCAGAGTCAGAGAGAGAGAGAGAGAGATCGCAAAGCTTGGCTTCGCTGCTGATGCTGACGTTACCTTCTGTCAGAGGCTCTTGGGTCTTCGCTTAAAGATTTTCAGTTTTATAAAATTATTTTGCGATTTCCGTTCCAACGATTTGCATACGTGTGCGTCAAAGCCTTACACTAGGAGTGTGGAGAAGAGGTGCGGTGCGTTGGCTGAGTGGGAATATCTAACGATTTTTTATTCTCTTTTTGTTTTTTTAATGTGTGGGAGAGCATCTGCGTCAACACCTTCAGGTCTTTTTGTGCAAATTTAACTTTCTTTCAAGGCTAGAGAGCAGCTGCGCGTTGTTTGTTATTTGATTTGTAAGCAAATTTGTAGGTTTTTGTTTTCTTGTTTCTTGGAATAAATTTCGCTGGCTGTGAATCTGTGAGTCGATAATTGAATCTCTACCACATTCAGAAATTGCGCATGAAAATATACGGCAAGAGAGTGTACTTTGTTATTCCGCATGTGTATGAATTTACAGTTATGGAATAGGATATGATAGAGCCCAGCCCTGTGACTGCTGCTGCAGTGTGCATTCGTTTATCTCTCAGCACTGATATAATACAATGACAAATTTTTAACAAAGAGCAGTTATATTAATAAATGTCAAACAAACAGTGAGAAATGCAATAACAACAAAAAGAGTTGTTCATCATAAAGTGTACGTGTATTATGGTACCATTCACCGGCCGGTAAACTGATAAGCACGTAACCGCACTATTTATTGTTGTACATCACACATCAACGAACACACTCAGGCACACACATGTACACGCATGTGGCTTACACCAATACAGAGGCGTGCAGTAATTGCTATTGGGTGTAAATGTCGTTGATCTTTCGTTTAATGTGAAATTTGTTGGACAATTGTTTGTGGTGAACGATCAGATCCCACTAATTGCAAACGTACACGTCATTAGACACAGCAACAGCAGCTGCAGACAAAAAAAATTGCTGATAATGAAGCAGGAACTAAAGGCTGTTTTGCGGTTTTAGTTTCTTTTTGATAGGAATACGTTCTGGCAGTGCAAATTTCCCCTATTATATCACTCGCAACTCTCTTTTGCAGTAACCTACACGTAAAGGAGATCCCTGAGAAGAACCCCCACGTAGCTGCATCAAGGCAAGATATGCAAATATGGATTTTCACATACTGATCGTCATTGGTTGTGTGATCAGCGCCTCCCTGCTCTCCTTCCTGTTCATCAATAAGATATTCAGGCGCAAGACCTTCGAGGAGGTTGTCGCCGAGAAGCGCGCCCTCAGCGCCAATCTGTACAAGGCCGGCGGCGGTGCAGCGGCCAGCAAGAAGCCCAAGAAGAAGGAACTGAAGCGCGAGAAGAAACAGAGACAGAGGGAGCAGCAGCGAGATGCCAGCCACGACCCCGAGGAGGACTACTCCGATGGCCAGCAGTCCGAAGAGCAGGGTTCTGTAGACGAGGGGCCCGGCTTGTCCAAGCAGCATGTGGAATTCGAGCCCGATGCAGAGATCATGAACGAGCAGCGTAGGTCCAGCAATGCTGCCGAAAAGGAGAACGTTCCCCTGGGCAAGAAGAGCAAGAAGGAGAAGCGGAATGCTGGCAAGAGCGGAGCCGCAGCAGCAACCGCTCCTGTCGCTGGCATTTTGGTCAATAAAAATGAGCCGGTGGCCGTCAAGCCGCTCACTGCAGAAGAGACTCCCACGCTGAACAGCTTCGATGTTCGTGCACCCAAGGATGTGGTCGAATTGAAGAAGCAGGAGCAGAAGGAACGCAAAGAGGACAACAACAACAAGCAGCAGGCACAGAAGAAGAACGGATCCGGCAACGTGGCCAAGAAGGAGAAGCCATTAGTCACAGCAGGTGTACCACCCACTGCCACTGTCTCTGACCAGGAGCCACCGTCCGTGCCCAAGCAGATACTGAAGCAGCAGCAACAGCAGAACGGCTCACCCAAGACCCAGAACAACCAAGTGAACAACAAGACCAAACAGCAACATCAGCAGCAGCAGCACAAGAAGCAAAAGGAGTCGCTGACGGCCAAGGAACTGGCACAGGCATTGGAGAAACTGGCCGAGCATCAGAACCAGACGATTGGTGTGTCCGCCCTCATGAATGTCTTCTCCCGGGCCGAGTTGAATCGTTCCGAGATTCAGATTTTGATCGATTATCTGCTAAACAAGCAGCAGGATATGCCCGCATCGCATGCCGAGTGGTCGGATGATATTTGCCAGAAGTTGAAGCGCCAGCTGGAGGAAAAGGAGAAGCTGCTCGCCGAGGAGCAGGAGGCCTCCATTGGCATTCAGGCCAAGCTGCGCGAACTGCGCCAAGAGGTCAACACGGAGCGCGCCCAGATGCATGGACGCATTCAGGCCTACAACGATAAGCTGCAGGGCAAGGAGCAGGAGTTGTCTGCCGTCAACCAGGAGTTGTCCAGTCTCAATGATAAGTTGACCCTTGAACGCCAGCAGTTCCAGGTATGTCCACATCACTATCCCAGCCACCCCCCTAGACCATGCCCATATATATATATATTTTTTCCAACCCATTTTAGACCTTGCTGAGGGAAAAGCAGGCCACTTCGCAGGACTTGGTGCCCCAGTTGCAGCGCCTGCAGCAGGATTTGGCACACAAGGAGAAGTGCTTGGCCGATATGACTGCCTTCGTGAGCGCCGAGACGCAGCAAAAGAACGAGTTGATCCAGCAGCAGGCCCAGCAGCTGCTGGCCCTCGAGCAGCAGCGCGACGAACTGGAGGCGCGCCAAAACAACAGCATCTTTGAGCTGGAGCAGCGCAAGCACCTGGACGCTGAGAATGGCGAGCTTAAGGTGGAGCTGCGCAATCTCCACAATGCGCTAGAATCGGCCAAGGCCGATCTGGCTCACGCCCAGTCGGAGCTGACGCATGTGCGGGGTGGCGAGCTGCAGGAACTTCGCCAGCAGGCGGCCTCATTGGAGGCCAACAATCAGAAACTCAACCAGCAGCTTAGTCAGGCCACCAGCAGCGCCGTGCAGGCGACGGCCGCCCAATCGGAGCAGGCCCAGGTCCAGTCCGATGCCCTGGCCAAGAAGCACCAAGAGCTAAGTGCTCTGAGGGCACAGTACGGCTCGCTAACCGAGGCCCAGGACAAGCAGCAGGCACAAACCAGCAGCCTGCAATCGCAGGTGCAGGAGTTGCAACAACGCGCCGAGCAGTTGGTGGCAAGGGAGAAGCAGCTGCAGCTGGAGCTGCAGGAACAGCGCGAGAAGAATAATGTGAGTAAGAGTTGCGCTCTTCTTTGTTGGATTCATTTTGCGTTTGTGGTCCAATCCTATGTCTTCCCTTCCCATCCCATTTTGTGTGCTGTTTGCAAACCTTTTAACTAATTGCCACGCGTATTTGTGTTTCGGCAGGAGGTGCGTATGAAAAATTGGAAGTTGATTGAAGCGTTGCAAAATGCCGAAGCAACAGCAACCGCCAAGACGAAAACAAATACCAAGCAATCCGTAGGCGTAAGTGCATGCACAGATCCAGCCCAGTCTAGTCCCACTTCCCTTTTCTTTCCTTCCTTAACTTGGACACGCACATGGCTTTGGCTAAACTTGAGTTCTCTTTGCATTTGCAGCAACAAGAGAAGGATCTGCAACAGCAGCAGAAGGATCTGCAACAGCAGCAGAAGGAGCTGCAGCTGCAACAGCAAAAGTCCGTGGCGGCTGCTGCCAATGGGGCAAGCGCCTCCGCCAAGAGCGAACAGCAGCGCATACGCGATCTTTACCAGCGTCTCTACCCAGATGCGGTGAAAGCGCAAGCGGCCACGGCTCTGCAAGCCTCCTTCGATCAGTGGCTGGAGCAGGTTTTGGCCACACACATCAAGCAGCAGCAGCTGGAGCTGGAGAGGAGGGCTGTCCAGAACAGTAGTAATAAGTCCACACAATCAAACAATAGTAGCAGTAGCAACCACAATAGTAGCAGCACCAGCAGCAGCATCCACAACAATATTAGTAGCAATAATAGTAGTTCGAATAGCAAATCCTCCTCCTCCTCCGCCGCCGCCTCCATAGCTGAGCAGCAGCAGCTACAGCAACAGCAGCTGGAGCTGCACAAACAGAACCTGCAGCTGCGGGAAACGAACGATAAGCTCACGCAGCTGGTCACCAAAACGGTAAGCCCTGGATAAATGTACCAATTAAAATTTCTTAATTCATATTTGGCAATGCAGACCAACACGTTGATGGACCTGGAGGAGCGTGCACGGGAGCAGGATGAGCATTGGCGTGGCATTGTTAACCAGAAGGAGCAGCAGATTACCAAGCTGCAACAGCATGTCTCAAATGGCGAGCAGGTGGGTAGCAGGGCTCTTTATTATTCCGCATGGAAAGCTGAAAAATTACTCTAATTGCAGGACATTTAATGTCGCTGAGGAGGCAGGAGAAGAAGCCCTACAACGACTATAAATGACAAGCAACCACACACGAGTTTGTCCAAACTTCCATAACAACAACAACAACAAACAGCAACAGCAAACAAAATTCTAACAATTATATTAAGTTGAAAGAGAGGAGCCACCACCCCAGCACACACAGAAAATATTAAATGAATGAAAGAACTTAGTACGGGAATGCTTTAAGAACTTATCTACAGCAAAGAAACAAAGCAAAAGTAAATTAATAAAACAAACAAAAAAACGACTTGTGCAATGTTAAAGGAGATTTAAAGAAAAAGAAGAGAAACAACGGAAATCTTAGCCCTCCCACACAACGACAAAATCCATTTCTGCTGCTGCCCCACCCCAAAGTGGGAAATTAACTAATTAATTACTATTATTATGATTATTTAACCAGAAAGGCCGTATGCGAATGCGAATATTATTTGTGTTGAACTTGCATTTAAAACAAACAACAAAAAACGCGCTATAAACAATTGTATATGTATATGTATCTTATGTTTAAGCAAATGAATTTACACAAACACAAACAACAAAACTACTTAAAAGGCAATTCTATACAAGAAATAAACAAATTATACACAACCTATAACTAAACACTAAATTTATGTATCTATGTGTATGAGCATGATGTAAAATGTATATTTTTTTTCCATGTTTTTCTTCAGTTTTAAATTCAATTGAATTGTGCAGCAAAAAAAAAGCATTGAAAACCCGCAGCAGCATGTGGTTGGTCCATCCCACAAAAAACAGCAAAACATTTAATTAAGACGTAAACTATTTTTATATACAAAAAACACACAAAACACACACAGAAAACGTTAATTCATAAGTGAAACGCTAAACATGGTAAATGCTAGCTAATTAGCGACATAATTCAAACAAATTGTCAAAAAGTAAACTTGTTGCATGCAAAAAAAAAAAACAAAAAAGAAAAAGTATTTAAGGAGCAGAAATAGAAGGAAATCCTACACGCCCCCCCACTCCCCAAGAAAATGAATGAGCTATAGCCTGCATTATAAAGATTTATGATGTATAACTTATGGTAAATGAGAATTAAATACATACACACATATGAGAAAAATAATATATAAAAAACATGCGACTGGAGGACAACACTTTTGTGGGGAATGGATGATGGCATGGCTACTTTTTGGTGGTGTTGTTGCTGGTGGCTTGGCTGCCAATTTGTAGATTTTGCAGTGGAATGGCCATGTGGAAGGGATACTGCAGCAGTTGGCTGCAGGATGGACGCATCTTGGGATTAAGCTGCAGGCACTTTTTGAGCATCTATAAAAAAGATTTAAATGTAAGAGACTATAGACACCGCTACAGTCATGGGACTTTAACTTACATGTACCAGCATGGCTGGATAGTAAAAAGGAATGTCTGGATACTCAATGTTTGTGCCCGGATTGGCAATGGCATTCATTTTGGCACAAATATTTCGTATATGACCAAATGGCGTCTTTTGGTAAAGCAGCAAATACAGTATGCAGCCCAGCGACCACACATCCGACTTGGTGGATATCTTGATCTTGGGCTGATTGCCACCGCGCATGGGACTGTTGCCCGTTGAAATGTCGGTGAGCGCCTCGGGACTGATGTAGTTGAAGGTGCCCGCCTGTGAGAACTTGATGATGCTAGTCGAGTCCACCGAAATATTGCTGGCAATGCCAAAGTCAATCAGCTTCAGACGGCCATTGACCATCAGGAAATTGGCCGGCTTCAGGTCCGAGTGGATTACACCATGCTGATGGATGTAGTTGACAGCCTGCAGCATCTGGTAGAGAATACTCATCAGGCTGTAGGACGGCAGATTTGTGGTGTAGCTCTGCAGGATCTTGTTCAGATCACAGTCGCCCTTCTCCATAACCATGTACAGCTTGGACTCCTCCCGCAGCAGTTGACTGTGGAAAGCGAAATTAGTTTATGACTTAAAGACTCTCGGAGATCGCGCAACTCACTAATCGTACAGTGCCACAACGCATACGTTGCCCTGCAGCTTCTCCAGCAGCTTGGTCTCATTCAGATAGCCCTGCACCACAGACGGATCGGCCTGCAGGTCCACCACCTTCAGTGCAAACTCACCGCCAGAGTCGGGACGACGAGCCAGGTAAACGGAACTGGAGCCGCCGCAGCCCAGCTTCTGTCCTATCACGTATTCGTGATTCTTGATCTTCAGTATATTCGAGGACTTGCTAGAGGTGGAGGGCGGCACTGGTCCAGGCACAGGTACTGGTACAGGTTTGACCACTTCCTTGGGTTTTACTGGCTCAATTTTTGGCGGCGGCTGTGGCGGCACCATCACTTCCTTTTCTGCCTCATGGAATGCATTGTCCAAAGACTTCTTTGACTTGCCATTGATGGGCTCTGCTTTGGGCTGCTGCACCTCCGGCTTTGGCAGCGGAATGTCGGGACTCTCGCTGATGGTGTCGCACAGGGAGAAGCTGTCGCAGTTAAAAGGCGCCCCACGGCCCACGGTCATGGGCGTCTGGAAGAGCACCTTCTGCGAGCGAAACTCATTGGAAACGACCTCGCTGCGGGACTTCGGTGCCTGCGTAGAGCCGCGAACGCGCACCAGTGGCGTTATAAAGTCCACCTCGGGCTTTGCATTAGACTTGGCCACGAGCGTGGATCCATTGCGCAGGGGAGTCTCGTTATCGAAGAGTTTACGTCGTTCCGAGATGGTTTGCAGCGTAGAAGGCGGAGGTTTTTTGATGGCCTGCGGTTCTGGCTCAACCGCCGGAGAGTTCTGATTGGTGCTGCAGTTGATGCCCATGTTTCCGAAGCGACCCAGGAAAGACAAATTCGAATCGGATTGCTTCAGTGCGCCAGCCGTGGAGGGCATACTGCTGCTGGCGCCTCCGCTCACCGGCAGCTCGTGCGTGGGACTCAGCACAAAGGAGTCGTTGAGAATGGCGCAGTTGAGATTGTGATCGTTCTTGTTGTTATCCTCCTCCTCATCGCTGTCCGAGTCCATCATGGTCATCTCCGAGACTCGTCGTGGCCTGAAAAATAAACCATAATCAAGGTGCGATATATTCGGCGGGGTGAATGGAACATACTGCACTTCACCGGCTGCTCTATTGGGCAGCGGAATGTTTTCCTTATTGCCAGCATTGGTGCCGATGCCGATGGCTGATCCCCGACCGAAAGCAGCTGGCCGGTGGTTGTTTGCAGCTGGGGCATGGGATCGGTGCGGCTTGAGAGGCGTATTGTAGTCATCGTCCGTGTCCGAGTCAATCCCAAGAGCCAGCAAGTCCTTAATGCGGCGCGGCACAGGTGTAGTCATTTATTATGAAGTTTTTAATTGTTGTTAAATCGAATTTCAAAGAAGCCATAAATGTAGGGCTGATGCGCAACTGTTATCGTTATCGAGACGTATTTGCATTTCTTGAATCAAGACACAATACTAGCTCCAACTATTGCTTAAATTCTAGTTAATATCTATTTATTTTTACTGCACTTTTATATTTAAACTTGGCATTTTTTGACCAAGCGCTGTGATGCTTGCCGAAACAAACCAAGTGGCATCGCTGCTACTAGTCGATAAGCACACCTTCGACTATTTTCGCAGAGTTGGCAGCACCACACAAGAGGTCAAACAGGGTGACCATTTAAGGTATGTTATTTTTTGGAATATTTTAACTACGAAAATGAGGGTTCAGTGTACATATTTATGGTAGATCGGTATATTTAATCTTTTAAACACACACATTTTTTCTATTACCTTCTTGTTCGCTATGTTAACATATTCGACTTTTGTTTATGGATTGATTCGTTTGTCAAGAAAAAATGTTTAGCTGTTTGTTTTGTTTTCTAAAGAGACCGAAGACTGAAGAGAGCCGTCAGACAAAATTCAAGAGAGAAAAATGCATGTGAACATTTCGAACGTGAAATCAATTTCCTTTCCTTAACCGAAAGGTAATTGAAGGAATGAGGATAGTGAATAGGGTGAATATAAAGCGAAATTATCTCCAATAAAGAAAGAATATGGTTTTGATACGTTTTTATTTTATTTATTTTTTTTTTTTTTGAGGTTTTAAGTTACCGCTCTACCCTTAGGTAGAGCGGAATTATTTGGCCACCCGCCTTTACAAGGGGGAAATCGCCACGTCGTAATATGTAACTTGTTACAGCTTTGCTCCAATACTTACCTGGCGTAGAGGTTGTTCCCCACGTGCTTGCAGTGTATTTTACATTTCTGTTGTTCCGTTTTTATTTAAATAAATACACTTTATTTGTACGGTATATTTTGAAATGAAAAAGTATATTTCGGTATATTTTCGAGGCCCTGACGGTGTATGTTATCGATAGTTTTGCGGTCACACTGATGCAATCGCTGTTGCGATTAAAAACAAAAAAAAAAGCAAAACAAAGCGACAAATAATATTTTGAAATTACGCATATTGGAAAAGCAAATTTAAGACCCAAAATGGACTCCGAAGCAACAGGCGCCGCCGTCCCGACAGGCGTGATACCACCACACATACACGATACGGACCAACTGCTGGATCCAGTGCTCTTCTCGAACGACAATGGCACCTTCAAGCTCAAAACGGTGCCCGCATTTAGGTGAGGATCAATGGGTGTCGCAACGGGGCTTGGGGCCTGCTGCCGGCAACAATGAATCACTTCACACTGCGCGAAAGGGTGGAAATTACGATGATATGGATGAGTGCAACGCAATTAACGCACACCAATGTGAATCTACTCCACAGCATACACTTGCTTATCTCTTCAGTTATTTCGTGTGTGGGCATCGGCCTGGCGGCTCTCTGGCCAGCGGAACGACGCTGCGACGCCTACTTTATAATGCTCTACTTGCGCGCCACCTTCTGGGTCATCACATATGTAAGGATTTGACTTCAAGCGTCTGGCCACGACCTGCCCCAATGCCTCAATTTTCTCCGCTTTCAGCTCTTTGATCACTTCGTGAAGATTCAACATGATAATCTACGGCTGAGCGGCTACCATGATTTTCATCGCGAGACGAACATGCAAAAAGGCATACCACTGCAGGTGGTTTCCCTGTGGAACTCCATGCTGTTGGCTGTCCAGGCCATGATCCATCATTACTATGGCGAGAGCTTTTGGGAGCACTGTGCCGCCGGCTGGCTGTCGCCCGTCAGCTATGTGACGGCATTCAGTGTGGCCGAGAATGTGGTGCTGGCCATTTCCCATGGCTGCTATATTGGTGAGTGAAAGGTTCTTCCTGGAGATACATTTTTCAAATTCTGAATCTCTTTGCCATGCAGACAAGGTGAGAAAATTCAACAAGGCCAATCTGGCGCCAGATGTCCTACGTGGCACCGATCAAGTGGGCGGCTCCTTGGGTCTGATGCAGCCCGGCGGCGACACAGCCGAGCTGCTGGAGAAGCAAGCGGATCTCATTGCCTATCTGCGGGATCATTCGCACAAGCTCAACCTAAAGCTGCACCAAATGCAGACAAATGTGCGGCCTGTGCGCACACCACAAATTCCTTAAGCAATGCCCAAACAAAGGACAAATTTATACACTACATATTATTACGTATTTACCATACATATTTTCGTTTTATTGGCGCTTTTCTTTTTATTATATTACTCTCGGTTCACGACAGACATATTACGCCCAAATTGTAAATACAAAAAGAACACAAAAGTATGTTGATATCCATTCGCAGATGGAAGAAAAATATCAGTATGATTGTAAATGTATATACAAACAAATGCGCGAGTGTGATTGTTATTAAAATTAAATCTGATCTATATATATGTGTAGTCTCATTGTTGTTCGGAATTAAGCATTTCGGGTGGTACTTCGAGCACCTCCAACGAGTTATCCTTCGACGATGTCACAATCTGTAAAGGCAAGAGGAAAGTAATATAAAATACAAGCTCCTTAAGCACAAAATCTAGGATTTGTTAGACTTACACTACCACCCGCTATGGCCAGGGCCAGCACCAAGCGTCCAGCACCCTCGAACCGACCCACCTGGGTGCCCTTGTGCTTGTCCAGGACGTAAATGAAGCCATCGTAGCAGCCAATCAGCAAATATCTGTCCCTGAAGCTGACCATGGAGACGGCACAATTGCCGCAGCTCAACTTGGTGACCAGGTTTCCACTCTAAAAGTAACACACACAAAAAATACAACCAAATTTTATTTTTCGAGGCGAGGAGGATTATTCTTACAGCAAACTCGAACTTGTAGATCTCGTTCTTTTGCGTGCCGCAGTAGATGTGTCCGTCATTGAGTAGCAAACTGTAAACGTTCAGTCCGTTGGGCACACCCAGGCGACGCAACAACTGCCCCGTGGCCGCATCATGCAAATACACAAAGTTGCCCTTGCAGCCGAGTATGATGATCTTCCTGTGGCCCTCCTTGGTGGCTTTGACAGCAATAATGGACTGGCCCGTGGAGAGCAGCGGCGAATCAATCATCTTGTTGGTCTGCAATTAAAATAATATATTTGTTAAGTTGATCAAAAGCAAAATAATGGACTGGAAATCCTTGTTGGAGATGCGGGGCATCGATCCCCGTACCTCTCACATGCTAAGCGAGCGCTCTACCATCTGAGCTACATCCCCGTTGTGGATAAAGCTAATTTATTGGCCCCTAAAAGGGTTTGCATGCTTTGATTTTGGGCCAAAAGTTCGTTGCTACCGGACTCATTGATATTCCCAAAGTGCATTGTCATGAGAAACACGCAAACGAACTGGCAACATAACGAAATGGTCAACAAAAAGCACTGTGAGTTTTTGTATCTTTTATAAATAAATAGTTGCTATACATACATATGTATGTAAATATATTTCGTTGGCATAAACTATTTATAAACTATTTATATTTAAATATAGGTGGGTGTAGGTATACAATAGTATTTAAAGATTAGATAATGCCTTCTTATCTAAATGCTATACAAATACTCTAATTACTTTAGATTGCAGTGTAAATGGGAAACCCCAACTACTCGTAGTTGCTTTCTATTTTCAAATGTATTTTTGTGTCAGGTGTTTGTAAGAATCTTGTAATATTATTCTGATTATTTAGACATTTGGAAGCATTTAGCAAGTATATTACATAAATTACTTCAATTATATTCTATAGAACCCGAAATGTTTCGTGCAAAAATGCCACCAAAGTAGGCCTGCTAAACACACTCATTAGACGCTTTCCAATCTATAAAACCAGGCAGTGTTAGTTCCATTTCAGACCCTGGTTCAGTCGTCATAGTTGAACAAAATTTGATTGCTCAGAAAAATTACTCGTTGCGAAAATCGGCGCTAGTCAGGTTTGTGATTTCAGTGATTTCATAATTGAAGATTTATAAATACAAAAATTACTTTAAATAGAAAGAACTATCATGAGCAATCTGTACAAAGATTTAAAGGCTGAATGGGGCAAACGGGCCCCGAATCTGCTGCGCTGTGGTGAGCTTTTGGGCATATTCAAGCTGGAGATGGCCAAGGGAGCATTCCTGATGCCCCGTGAGGCGTTAAACTCTAACCCCAAGCAAAAGGATCAACTGGTGAGGTCACGCGACGTGCTGGAGATTGCTGTGGAGCACAGCATCACCGTCAAGGACTACGCCGCCTTTGAGCGGTACATGGCCCAGCTGAACATGTACTACTACGACTACGACAAGTTCCTGGAACCCTCCAAGGAGATGCACAAGATGATTGGCCTGAGCCTGCTCTACATGCTGGCCACCAATCGCATTGCCGACTTCCACATTGCGCTGGAGCGACTGCCGTCGGACCTGCTGCTGCAGAACAGCTTCATCATGCCCGTGCTGGCCCTCGAGAACTACTTCATGGAGGGTCGCTACAACAAGATACTGCAGGCCAAGAAGTCCATGCCCTCGGAGATCTATGGCAACTTCATGGACATGCTGGTGAACACGGCCCGCGAGGAGATCGCCTCCTGCATCGAGAAGGCCTACCTGAAGATGTCCCCCAAGCAGGCGGCACAGCGTCTGTGCCTCAAAGTGGGCGGCAAGGAGCTTCTGGAGTTGGTCAAGCGCCGCCACTGGACCTTGGATGCTGAGGGGAACTACGACTATGCCTCGCTGAACTCCAAACCCAAGGAAGAGATTCCATCCAACGATATAGCCATACAGAATCTATCCTATGCCACTGAGCTGGAGAAAATTGTTTGATTTCTATGCTCTTTAATCTACACACATCTTACATCTACACAACATTATCTACGCCGGGTTGTACTTTTACTGAAGGAATGGCCGGAGGCTGCCTTTTCACGCAGTCCGTTGCCGCTGCCTTTGGAAATATTTTCAGACATTTTTCAGAGAAATTGTACAGACATCGGACATTTACTACAGAAACTATATTTTAATGCTAGCGAACGAGGAATAAACTTATGTTTATAATTAGAATTGGAATTATTTCATTGCAGATCTATTTATGCCATAAATACAATAACGTTTACAATTTTGTATCCCCTGAAATAGAAAATGCGAATAACCTGTACCTGTCGACAGAAATTGCAATGGAGAACGTTAACCAAACAACAGGCAGTGTCTCAAACATTGATAAATGGCTGTCCCAAGCTGCTATACAACAACAGCGGAAGAACAGCAGAACGAGAAAGTGTAGAAGATATAGAGCGAGAGCGAGACAGTGCAATTTTATGTATGTACAGTTATGTCTTGAAGCAGTAGCACAAAAAAAAACACCAATAAAATGCTTGCAGTGGGAGTGGCAGCAGCAGCAGCATGTTGTTTATTTAGTGGTTGCAAGCAGCGCTGCAAGCAGACCCGTGTCCTTGCCACACCCACCCAACTATATGCATGTACACATGCACGCCAATGCAACCGAACAACAATAGAAATAACCAAAACACTCACACTGGGCACTTCAAAACGAGAAAAAGAGTTACGCAGAGTCACTGAGCACATAACGGGGCACAAACAACGGCAAGCAACCCAACCAACCCGATTTGGCGGAGCGCAACCAATGAGAGAGCGGCACTACACACACACACACACACACAGAGACAGACAAGCGTCATATTCCAGAAAACACACAACACAACAAAACAGGGAACCAACCAAACCAGCAAGAAAGCCCACGCCACAACAACAACAGCCACACACACAGCCACACACACAGAAATAGCAACAGGCACGAAGACAATTCCAACTGCAACGCCTTGGAAGGCTGCAGCGACGAGAGAGAAAGAGCGAGAGCGCAGCCCAGAGCGTCAGAGAGAAAGCTCCTACTGTGCGAGAGAGCGAAAGCAACAGCTTGGGGGAGGGAGTCTGCCTCTCTTTTTGGGGCTTCTTGTACTTTATTTAAAATTGTTTTGAGTAAATAGCATATAAACATTTTATTTGCTGCTGCCAAAAACTAACGAATGGCAAAAGCATGAGGAGGCGGCTGTTATACGCTATATGCAACTAACGGTAAACTGCAGCGCAGCGCAGCACAGAGCAAGGCATGCGCATTGGGAGAAGGGGTACTACGTACCGACCACCAGCCGAAGAACATCCAAATAGACCTCTTCGTGTGCCAGAAGGAGAGCGAGATGAGAAGCCAGTGAGAGTAGGAGAGCATTTGGCTGCTGCATTTTGGGTGAGTGTGAGTGCTGTGCCGGCAAAATATACCGTTAACTAAACAGGCACACATAAAAACTTAAATAAACAACAATAGAGAGCGAGAGAGAGAGGGAACAGAGCAGTAGATGGAGAGCGAGAGCGAGAGCGATGGTGCTAGCATAACTGAGAGTGAGTGAGAGAAACAGTTGCTGCTGCCACTGCATGTGGGCTGCACTTTGCTGTTGTTTGTTGCAACACTAACCCCCAGCCCTGACTGGTGGTATATAGCCAACGAAGCAGGAGGTCCGCTTTGGAGCCAACTATGTACAGTTGTCGTCTCGGCCAAACAACGTGCAGCAAACACTGACACAATAAAACACAAAACACGAGTCAAAGCTAAATAGCAAGCAATGGCAGCAAGAGGCTGGCCAAAAAACTGCAATCCCAGCAACAGCAACGCCCTCTAGTATGTGCCTGAATATGTTACTATGTGGGGCGTGGCATCTTTGTATATTTACCAAATAACTAACGACCCTATACTGCACCTAGAATATTCAGATGGCCTACCAACTACCATACAGCTGGGAGTACAGTTGTCTCCATCGTTTCCTTCGTAATTACAATTACAGTTACAGCCTTCTCCTCATACACGATTGTTATAAGTACACTTTGCCTCCTCATCCTCCTGCACCTCTGCTATAAGTACAGTTGTCTCCTTTAACGTGCTAGTTAAAAGTACAGTTGCGCCTCCTTCTGCGCTATAGTTACAAGTACCATTGGCTCCTACATCCACCTCGTTAGCTGGGAGTACCTTTGCCTACTTCTGCACTACTTCTAGTTACAAGTACACTTTCCTGCTCCTTCTTACCTGCTCCTCAGTTTAAGTACAGTTGCCTCCCTCTTCCAAAAGTACAGTTGTGCACGAAGCGGAAGAAAAAACCGTAGCATAATTTCGGGCAACGGGCATGAGTTATCAGCACGTCGCAGCCATAAATCGAATTTCTGCCAGAATTAAGACTTATAGCTCTCTCTCTCTACCCTCAGCATGAAATATTCTAATGAAGTATCGCAAACTCCCTTTCTACGCTTTTCACTCCATACTATCCAATTTGTAAAATTCGCGTGAGCCAAACGCGAGGCAAAAAAAAATAAATTCGATTTGATTTCCATTGTCTAGACGTTCGCTCGTTCGCTTTTGGCCCTCAGTAAAGGCTCATTGCCAATTCGTTAAGTCTTGTTGTTGTTGCTTGGTCGGTGTTTGGGCAAGGTGTGGACGGCTCTTTTCCCGAGAGTGTGGAGATGCTGGTTGTGCTTTTTTTTGTTGGCAGGATTTGCCAGTCGCTGTTCAATATTTTAATTGAAATTTTCCAAGTGTTTGTTTGACAGATAAATATTTAATGAGCCCAACATTAATTAAATGGAGAATCTACATCACTGCAAGAAGATTGATTGACCTTCTCCACATGCAGGGCAGGGATGTTTAATTGGGCAATCGGCAGTCTAGCAACTAAACAGTTACCTTATTTTATATTTCATTGAAGAACTTACCACCACATTGTAGACAAAGATGTGTCCCCAGCGACTGCCAATAAATGCTGCATCCCAAGCAATATCAATCGATTGCAATGGCTCCTTGAAGTACACCGTTTGCTGTACGCTCTCCAGATTCTGCAGAAGAATAAACAGAGCATTTAATTGAGTATCCTTATAGCAAGCATAAAGCGTAGAGACTTACCTCCAATGAGGATTTCTTGAGGAAGCCGTCCAACGATGTGGTATACAGAAATGACTCCTGCTCGCACAGATGCATATTGGTAATGGCTTCGCCGTGTTTGGGTATCTGACGTTCCAGTTTGTGGTTGTGCAGGTTAAAGATGTAGATGTCCCCATCCTCGGCAGCGGCTAATATGTAATTCTTATAGATGCGTATCTGGGTGATCGGACTGACGACCAAGTGCAGGCGGCCCTTGCGTATAAAGCCCAAGTCCGAGTCCAGGTTCCCATTGGACTGAACCGAATGATTTCGCTGCGGCAAGGACAAGGGCGTGGGTGGTGCCGGTGGAGCCTTGAGAATACTTCGTGGCAGTTCGTACGGCATGTTGTAGATAGGTTCTGGCGGCGGCGGTGGTGGTGGCAGTGGTGGTATAATAGCCAACGGCTGCTGGGAAGGATTCGATCCCGATACTGTACTGGTAATTGGTTTGCTCTGACGCGACTGCTTCGGCTTGGATGTCGGGTTGAGAGTGGGTTCCGCCGAACGTTTGTGGTTGTGGCTGGCACCATTTTCGGTGATGATGGGACGCTGCACTTGCACCTCCATTGCATTGCAGAAATCTATGGGTTCCTCTTTGATCACCGGCTCAATTACCGGCAAGGGCATTTCCGGGGAGTTCTCTTTGGATTTTTCAGTCTGCTCCTTGGCTGCCATCTCCAGCTTCAACTGTGCCACTAACCTATCGGAATTGTCGTTCCTCTTGGCTGCTCGACGATTGAATATGGCCCTACGTTTGGGCAAATACTTGACCACCACAGCGCGACGGAAGCGACCCTTGGGCTTGGCCTTGTTTTTGATAGAACTCTCTCCTAAAACTGCTTCCTGACCCTCTGCTGTCGGAGCCGGCGAGGTTGTGGGTGGTAGAGTACCCAACATAACAGCTGTTGCTGTAGTAGGCCCATGCTTCCTGCTGATCGCTGAATTGATCAGCAGAAACTTGCGGCTTTGCAGCTCCAGGCTGTGCATTTCCAAATCGGATTTCTCCTTTTGGAACTTCATGATCATTTCGTCGAGAAAGCTGCGTCGATTCTGATTCTCCAAGAGACGGCGATCGATATCGATCAGATTTTGGGCCACCATGTCATCCAATAGTCCCATGGGTTCACTTGGTTCGGCTAGGCCATAGCCGCCGACGCCTGGCGAGACTCGCGACAATGTGGAATCCAGAAAGGGTATTCCCGGCGCAAAAACGCCAAATGGTTGGTTAATCCCACGTGGGGGCAATACTGGTGGACTTTGACGTGGTGGCAATACTGGTGGATTCTGAAGCAGTGGCAAGGCTGGTGGGCTCTCACGTGCTAAAGGACTCTGATAAGCAGACAGCGGGGGCGAAACCTGACAAGGACTTTCATTGTGGAGTGGTGCAGCGACTGCAGTTTCCTCCACGACTCTTTGATGTGGCGGCGGCGAAGGTGTTCCTTTTGCAACTTCAGCATTTCCTGTGCCGGCTCTCGTCACCATGCTAATCCCATTACTCAGCTTTTGCTCCTCCTGCTCCTTGCGCCGCTGTGCCGCCGCCTGCTGCTTCTGTTGATTAACCACATGGACAATTTGCCGCAGCAGGAACTCAATGCCCAGACGATTGTTTGGCTGTTTGAGATTCTTTTGCACTTTGGCAATTTCCATTTTGCTGATGCTTTGCGAGTTATATTCGCTGGATGTCACCACGCACGATATAAAGTGCAGACGAGTGTACTGACTGCCGCAGTGCTGGCTTCTGTATGTCTCGACCAGCGATTGCTTGAGGTGCGGCAGGATCAACTTTTCGAAACTGTCCACCACGTTGTCGGCATCGCTCTTGAGCTTCTGCAGGTAGCGTCGCTTCGAGGACTCGCTGCTGCGCTGGGAACTGGTGGAATCATCACTGGCATCATCGTTGGGTTTTGCCACGGGTTTTGGATTCTCACGCTGCTGGGTTGTCTCCTCATCAGCTTCATCCTCATCCGAGGAGGAGCTGACAACTATTGTGGTATTTATCATTGTTGGTAGAACCATTTCGCAGTCTTTAATCTCCTGTTTGATCGCTATTATGGGTTCTGGACTGGCACCCTGTGCTGTGGAGTTTCCTTTGTAACCAGGCGCCTTTTGTTTGTCGTTCTTGGCCAAGGAATCACTTATTTTTATACGCGCCGGCCTCTCGATGTTGTTCAATTTTTTGTTTTGTTTTGGAAACGGCACCAAAGGACCACGAGGCGGGAAGCTGCCTTTGGGACGGCCACTATACTGGCGTACTCCCGTCACACACTTGAGAACGTCGGCGGCTTTGAGCCGTGCCATCAGATCCTTGGCACCAGCCATTCTCACTGTTTCGGTGGACATATCTTCGGAACACTTTTTACTGCACTCTGTTGACTTGTCCTGCTCTGGAGGACTAGAATTTTGTTCTTTATTTGGACAGCACTGAGGACTAGAATTGTATTTTGGTTCTGAATTGATTTCAGTGCACTCCCCGCTCTTAATGTTAGGTTCTGTTTTGATTTTAATATTCTCAAAATTAATTTCCTGCTCTTCTGGCTTTGATATGTCTGGGCCAAAATCAATCTCATGCAGCAGAAATGTTGGAAATTTGATGGCATCAACGATCTGGTCCGGAATCAGTTCCCTGACCGGACTATCCTTGGGCTTTTCCAATTCCTTCAGCTGGCGACGTATCTCCACGCGGAGTAGTTTGCGCGCCTGGAACTGGAGCGACTCGTCGTATATCGGGTCACCGTTGTGGATTATATTCTTGAGACTCTCCTTGTCTAGGCTGGCGAGGTGTTCATTGATGACACCATAGACAGTAGATCCGCGATTTTTAGGCGCAGGTTTGTGGGCTAAAGGGTTTGCAGGTTTTTCCACACCTGAAGACTTTTCCGGTGTGGTGGCAGGTTTTTCAGCTGTGGCTGTGGAACCCAGACAGTTCTCCTCGGTCACGGCTTGGATCTCCTGCCTAAGCAGATGCGCCAAGGGACGTACTCTGATCTGTGGATATGTTTGATAAGACTCAGATTCTGCTGCTGACTGAGGAAAAAACTTGCGGAATTCCTCTAAAAGGCTGTATTGCTCTAGGGGAACTTCGCTTTGACTAGCATCATCTCCTGGAGCTCCTGTTTCTTGAACTGACTGGCCACAAAATGTATTTTCTCTCCAATTGATTGGCGTGTTCAGTAGGTAAGGGCTTTTAGCTTCTTTCAGTTCATTTAAATTGTAACTTTGATCGATTGTTTTAGTTATGGTAGGCCTGTACCATTTTCTTGAACAATTTTTCCAACCTTTTGTTATTTCTTCTAGTTCTGAAAGAACTTTTGTATTTTCTGGGTTTTCATTGGATTCGTTTTGGGTCTCAAGCGGACAGAAATCCGCTTTGGAAGCTTCTTTTGATTCACAATTGTTTTTGGTTTTTTTCCGTTGATTTGATTCGAGATATTGATCGAGATTTTTACTTATTTTAGGGCCTTTGTAGTAGCCTTCTGCGCTTGTTTTGCGCTTATAATCGTACCTGTAAAATCTCTCTTCACCATAATTATTATTATATTTATCCGAATAATCGTTGCGCTGCCAGTGGTGGTCGTTTGGTGGACGCCAATAACCATTCGATGACTACAAAAGAATGTCAGACAATTAGAACCCCAAAAAGGGACTCAAGGGTTGCACTTTTTACTTACATACTGGCGGAAGGAGTCACTGCAAAGTAGAAAGAAATAAATATTATTGGTAAGAAATAGTTAGTCCTTACAACAAACACAACACACAGAAAGAGCAGCGAAAGCAGCGCGAAAACTTTTACAAACAATAAAGGAATAATTAATGTAATCAGGCAACGTGCTCCAAGTTCTCTCTCTCAACTTTTTCGGGCACGTGAGAATAAATGGGAGCCAAAATGAAAGAAGGCTTCGCTTTCTGCATTAATTTAACAGATTTAAAATTTATAACCACGGAACCCCTGACCCCTGACACCCTCGCTGCCCTATCCAACAATTATCCCACCCACCTTTAGAGGGGTTGTGGAGGGACGGGGCACTGTTTGTGTATGCAAAGGTGCAAATTCCTTCTGGCGTTGGAATTTTTCGCCTTTTGTTTTTTTCTGCTCTCGGAGAAAAAATCTCGTTAAGAAATGCTAAAATATACGACCACAAATCTCTGCCATTGCCTGCCTTCTTTTTCGTTGTTAATGTCATTTGTAACTTGAACTAATTAAAAATTTAACAGCGAGAAAGTTTTAAAATCTTGTCAGGCAGCAATAACTTATACGGCGAGGGTTTTTGTGGAAGCTATCAGGTTTTTTTTTAAAGTTTCCTACCATTTGAAGACCCCTGTCTATTCTTGGAATTAATTATTTCAAAATTGATTTAAACACTAGTTTTCTTCAATTCAAAACCCTAAATTACATGAGAATCGAGTATTTATTACAATATTAAATAGTTTTAACCAATTAAGTCTCATCTATGCATTTTCAATTACTCATATTCCAAATAGGGATTAAAACTTCACGAATTTCGCTCAATTATTCGCTTGAATACGAATTTTGTAACCAATCTTCAGTCATACATTGCCTAATTTATAATTTCTTAAAGAAACCCGCAATTAAAACAAATACTTTTCCATTGCCAGAGCTGAAGCATCGCAATCTCTCCTATATATTTGACTTGATATGTTTTGGGCTTTAATTAAAACCAAACAAAACAACACGCTTGTTGTCAACGCCAAGACAGGGAGTACAACTTGAAAATTACCTCAAGCTGTTGCACAGGAGAAAGGATGCCTCGAACGTAGGAACGAACCCTTCAACCAACCCACTAATTGTTACTACTCGTACCCCCAATTCGAGATTCTGGTCCCACTCCCTCATTGTTTGTGCTGTTGTTTATCTGAGAAACATTGTGAAAACATGTGGGAAGCGTGGCTGTGCTTAAAAACACATTACAAGTACAAGACAATTAGTTTGTCTCGTGTAGCCAGGGAAGTTGCTGTAGGATATCCTCTACCCCCATTTCATGTTCCTCTCCCGACAAAGAGTTAAACGTTTTCATATTTATGAGGCTCGTAAAACTCAATGATATACAAAATTAATGACAAAAACGTAGCAAGTGGCATTTGCTTCCACTCTCTGGCGAATCGTAAAAGAAATGTTACCTCAAAAAACTTTTGTCAGCATTCACCTGACAGTGGGAATTCGGGATGGGAATGGGAATTCGGGATGGTTGTGCGACACAGTCAAAGTTATTCAAGCGTCTTGTAATTTTAATTTCAAGAAAGTCTGTGACTTTTTAGTTGCTACCTTCTGAAAGTATCACTCCGTCTCCAGTTCTGGCACATCCTCTCTCTCATGTTTTTCTGTCTATCTTAAGACGTCACGTGCCATTTTTTGTTCCTTTTTTAATTGACTTTGGACTGGAAGAAGTTTATTAGTTGACGGGGGAGGACTTTTGGGCTTGATTTGAGCAATAGTAGGTGCCGGTGCCTGTGCTGTGCTCTCTTCCTGCTCATTAGAAAGGACTTGTCACATACGCCAGCGTGACTTTTGTGGACTTTTTCCTCTCAGTCTCTCGTCCTGTGTGGACCCGTTTCCGGTTCCGATAAGGGGCACATAGAACGTGTTATTGTTGTTCTTTTTGTACCCCCAACAGGACCGAGTGGCATCCTTTTTCACTCATCACTGCATAAATTTTGGAAAAGTTTATTTTTTCCCTTCCGCTATGCGTTATGCATATTAATTTTTACTCAAATGCCCACCCAAGATGCTTGCAAAAATACTGATTTTTATTCTTGCTGCTACTCCGGGTTCCAACAGGAATTGCTGTTTGACTTTGCTTATGAATATTTGTTCTTTTTTCGTTTATTCAAGGAACATTTTGATATATTTTTGTGCGATTTGTGTGTCGATGGATGCTTTTGCGGTTTCACGCAATCAAACAAATATCAGAAAAATATAATTTCGATTCGAAGCTTTATTAAGTTCGAAGCTGCTCTGTCCATCAAAGTGTTTCAAGAGGTATAAACTTGGCTATGTCTATAATTGAACCATGGTTATGTCTTTCAAATGCCACACCCAACTGTAACAACTACAAGACCAAAGCTAAGCCGCAAACCAGTTCACTCCAGGGGCAAGCACTCGCACTATAAAGCGTTTGTCTGGTCACTATTTGTCGCACCTCTTGCATGCCAATTGAAGGTAACAAGAGGTAATTGTCCAGCCAAGAAAAAACAATTTAATGGTGCCTTTGATACTAAATCCCAACTCGGGGATGTAGCTCAGATGGTAGAGCGCTCGCTTAGCATGTGAGAGGTACGGGGATCGATGCCCCGCATCTCCAATCCAAGTTTATTTTTGAAGCAACTTTTTTGCAAGCCGGAAACTCTGCCGAAACAAAACACTTAAAACAATTAAAAACACTACAAATAAATACATAAATTCCCGCAACGACAGGAACAACTTAACTAGCTTAGTCTTCTGTCGGGGCTGACACGGCAGGGGAAGCGGGAAGGAGAAAAAACTTTGTCCTGCCAAAAACGGATAACAATACAGAGGCAACAAAAAAATTAAAACAAAAGCCTTTGGCTCATAAATAGCACATCATGTATCATTTACAACTCTGATGGCAGCAGTGCATGGAGCATGGATGGAGTCACCCTGGGGCGTCCTGACTGTTGTCCTGGGACCGCGCTTGCCGTGTCCTGACTGCTCGCTCCCGTGGCTGCTGTTGTGGCTGTCTGGTTAATTGCTGGCAAAGTTCTCTGGCGAATGCAGGCGAATAAACACAAACATTGGCATATTGTGCTGATTTATGTGCGACAATGTGTTCTCTCTGCCACCCACCTCTCCTGCACATCTGCCCCATGGAACATCTCCAACGTAAGGGCGCAAATCAAATTACGCGTCTTGATTGTCGACATGGGGGCGGCCCTTCTAAGGGATGTCCTCAGTATGATTCGGGATAATGCTCACTGGCAGCAGCTACAAAGGCAAACCTTTGAATATTCATTAGTGGCAACTTCTTCCTCGACATAAGCCCCCCGAAACAGAATGCAAAAGACAAAACTGCCGACGTCTGTGTATTTGTCTGCCACAAACGAAAAAAAAGAGCGAAGAAAATAAGGAAAATCCTATTGGAGATGCGGGGCATCGATCCCCGTACCTCTCACATGCTAAGCGAGCGCTCTACCATCTGAGCTACATCCCCACATGCATCGTCCGAGGGCCAAGTGTCCAAAAAAGGTGTCCAAACTAAAGTGCAAGACCAGCTAAATGGCCAAATTGGTTAAGTGAAAGGCAAGGTTTTCGATCGATGTTTTGTTAGTAGCGGTCGTTGAAATTTATTGGATTGTTGTAGTGGGAGTATAGGCAGGGCTGATTCAGACGAAAGTTTGGTTGGAGGATATGTTAAAAGCAATCTCTCACCAGCGCTGGGCAGGAATAGAAATAAATGTTGTTTGGGTTTTATTCAAAGAAATAAATTTGTTAAATCCTTTGACGTTTACTTCCGGTTTCCCATCTGAAACACCTCCAATGTGAATAACAATTCATATCTTTGATTCCCCAACCATTCAGTACTCAACGCCCAAAGTTAACTCTTGATCCCAGCAATTTATTGTATCCTTAACCACGCTATGAAAAGAAAAGAAAAACGTTTAAAAATTGCCGATTGGGTAAAAAGTTTTGTGGAGACCGTGCCAGCCCGCATAATCAACTCTCTGCGTCTCTTTAGGATTTTTTGTGCCTGGGGAGGGACGCCATGAAACAGCAGAAGCAACAAACAAACAAACAATAAAATATTGAGCACATTAATGTTTAGTCAGACGTAAAATTACTTTTAAGTCTACTCCGGGTCTAAAGGACAGGGGCACAGCTCCGGAGACTCTGAGACAGTGTCGTGGGTGGAGGCGGATTGAGCCATAAAGACGTTAGATAAACGCTAGATGCATATTTATGATTTGACACTCCAGAAGTTGCCAGAGGAAATGGAAAATGGGAACAGGAACGGGACAGGAGTGCGGCTGAGGCCTGTCATTCTGGGGCATTTCGTGAAAAGCTTTCATAATGCTCGATAATGAAACATTTTTCACTTTTGCCACATTGACAAATGCCCAGGCAGAGGGGGCAGAAATAATAAAAGTTCATGCCAGTATTCTGGATTTAATTAAGAATAAGAAAAAAGGAACATTTGCAAACTTTTGAATTGCCAGATGCGCCGCGCCACCCCAGGAACTGGCGTCTCTCTCGCCTAATCGGATTTGCACCAGATATTTATTATGATTATTATTTTAGGAGTTTGGGAAATTTTTTACGTTAATTAGAAAGTAGCTGTGAAAAGTGACAGCAAGAGTGGAAGACATTTGAAAGGAGACTGTCTGCTCTTTGATTGGAAATGGAAGCAAGAAATAATCCGTGGATTATTGGGCATTTTATAGGAACATCAAGAGTGTGTTTTTTTGGCATAATTAAATTAAATGATTGGAGTGAACAATAAAGAGTGAATATTTATAATAATGACAGTAATTTTTCCAAAAGTTAAACCAATAAAAAATCATTCTTTACTTATAGAGATCAATGCTTACCTTTGCTTTATGTTGAAGTATAACTGTTTTTCTCTGAACTTAGTACATCAATCAGTCAATTCAGTCTAACCATTTGGCTAATCTCTCTTCTATATCACTTGTCTTACTTAACAACTTTGTTGCCAATTACTAAACCACTTCTGTATCGAATCGAGTCCTGTATTAACTCAGTCTGTTGCTCCTCCACCTTCGACTCGTACAATTCGTTTGCTGAACAAATTCCGGGCAAAAGTTAGCTCAATCACAATAATTTTGCCACTCCACTCAAAGTGTCACTTAATTGCTTATGAATGTGGCGCCCACTGTGTGTGTCAGCGAGCCTGCGTGCCGGAGGAAATAAAGGTCTTCCCCCTCGTGGTGGGCTTGTGACACTTTTTGTTGCGGTTGACAGAGCGGAAGCGGAAACGATTATGTGTGAGGCTTTGTTGTGATTGACTCTTTCGGGGGTCTTTTTTCACACTTATTTGCAATGGAATTTTTGGCTTGCGTCTGAGGATATCAAATATTTACGAACTGGCTAAAACAGCGCAAAAGTAAAAGGGATATTGTTTAAAATTGAACTTTAGTCGTTAATTTTTTATCAGAATAATTCATTAATTAATGCAGTTAATTTTTGTGTAATTTTAAAGCCTTTTAGATGATCTACATTTTCAAATGTAACTTTAATTTTAATTATTTTTTAATTTTAATTTTATTTCTGAAAGTCTTTTGGACCGAGACTATATTATTTTAGATTTATTTGAAATATGAAATATGAAAGTTTAACTCGTTTAACTCGATTAATGTTCAATACTTTGGTGGTAATTCATTATAAAATTGTGGTGGTAATTCATTATAAAATTAATTGCTGTTTTCGTCCTTTTTTTTTTTTAATAATTATCATACACCGTATACTTTAACGTATTATTACTTTTAATAGTATTTTTTAAGTTTAAATGAATTTAATTCCGTATATTTTGTTTATGTATTTAATAATATTTCGTTAATAATTTGATTATTATTAGTCTCAAATTTTAGCTTAAGGGGAAATTCTCCAACCGGTTTAACCGCGCTTTATGCTAAGCCTCTTCTGCTGATGACCCGTAGCGATGACAACAACAGTGCAGTACACAACACAACACTGCACAACAGAGGCTCAACTGCGGCAGCAGAAAGTGCCGTTAACCGACGGCGCTAGTTTCCAATGCCCTGCCCTGGCCCCCAATTTGCTGCTGCAGCTAGAGCAGGAGCGGGAGAGGGCTTAGAGAGCAAAACAGCAATAGCAATAGGGATGCAACAGCAACAGCAGTCATAGCGGTACATAACCATACAACAGAACAACAGCTACAACTACATAAACTCACACAATCGCATGGCACATGACATGGCATGGCATGGCATTGCTGCTGCTACTACTGCTGCACACTCACACAACGTCATATACAACAGCGAACGAGAGACGGGCTGAGAGCCGATCATCATAAAACGGTGTGCGAGTACACGACGAGTACATAACATAACCCGAAGTCACGGCCCGAGAGCTGCAGCAAAACAAAACACAGCACAAAACAATGCAAAATACAGCAGCAACAACAACAACAAAATGTAACTAAATACGATGCAGCCGGAGGGGGGACGGGATGTGTGGGTGGCACCACCATCCCGACCCCCATGCATCGCCCCGTCAAAGCGAACGACGAACGAGCGAGCTGGAAAGACCGAGCGCGACTAACGGTACAAGGACCAAGAAGGCCAACGTCACGAAAGCCCGCCGAAAGCCACGAAGCTATACCCAGGGCATGTTTGAATAAAAGGTAAGGCAGTGGCAGAGGGTGCCCTGTTTTTGGGAATCTGTGGAGTGCAGCAAAATTGTTTGAATTTATAGCAGAAAAACTTAAAATTTGACATTCATTGTTGTGATACCAATAAGAATAAAATAAGAAAAGCAACAAAAACCAAAGATCAGTATGGGGCACTGTCTATTGTTTTTTTAAATATACCTTGGACCATAAAAGCCACGAAGTTTCAGCCCACGAAAAACACAGAGAGAGAGAGAGTGTGAGAGTGTTGTGGAAGAGAGAGCGAGTGCGCATTAGAGAGAGAGATGGAGAGTGACTGCAAGAGAGCGAGAGATGGCAATAAAATAAAATACAAGCAAAACAACATAAAAACCCAACAACAACAGCAGCAATAATACCAACAACTGCAGTAGTGGCTGGAGCTGGAGCAGCAGCAGAGGAGGAGCACGTGCAATTAATGCGGAATGGGAGAAGAAGATGGCACAAAACAGGAGAGTGAGAAAGTGGTTGAACTGGGGGGGTTATTTCACTGGAATGGTGTATACAATCTTCCTTTCGTCTGCTGCTGCAACAGAGTGCTGCCTGGTTGGCTGTTGCATACTTCGAGGCGCCTCCGCTGCTGCTGCTTCTGGTGTGAGTGTGTTGGGATTTTTGTTTGGTAAACTGCATATACAACAATACAATAAGTAGAAGGACAGGGCACCGTGGAGATCCCCCATGCCCCATGCTTTACATATGTACCAGCTTGAATGAATTCCGGCGCATGCCATCTGATGGCATTTTCTATAAAAGTCAGTTAGGCCATGTGCACGAGCTCAGTTGAGTTTCAGCTACCAGACTCCAGACTTGAAATCTTTCGCCATATCGAAGAGAACCAACCAAGCCACCCAGCGAAAGCACAAATTGAGCAAAACATTTTCGCTATTTGAAGCCCGCCATCTTTGCCCCACCGTCGGCAATTTGGTTCAACCAGTTTTTCGGAGTAGTATATGAGCCCTGCGCTTACCTCAGTGAGTACTTAATCGACGCTGGAGAGTGAAATTTGGAGAGTGATGTTATGGTGGAATGTGTGTATGGTTTGCATGTGATAATAAGGGAGTGCTTTTTAAACGCATATGTACATACATTCATAGATAGACAGTTAAATGTGATTAACCTATGAAGTGTTGGGTACCCTTCATCAAAGTATGTAAAGGAAACAAAGAGTTTTAAAAGATCCTTTAATTAAATTGGACAATTTCTAAGAAGCTTACAAGATTTACTTGTTAATCCAAACGATCTTCAGTTGACTTAGCCATAGGTCGCTGTACATAAACAATAACGAGAAGGGACGTGTGAGACGCTTCTTACGCGTCACAACTTTTATACCCGTCACTCAGTAATACATCTGCACCTTAACGGTTATTTGCCGAATTCTACATTTTTTCTTCATCTGTCATCTACATTTACAACACTTCTCACACCAACACGCTCCTTTAGCTCGCCGCCCTTCCCTAGACCCACACACTGCAGACTCGCGGCGGAGGCAGAGGCAGCTGCGGTACACAAAAAAAACCAAATATAAGCTGCGGGTGGGTTAAAAGTCAGCAGAGGCAACGGCAGAGGCAGAGGCCGAGTGAAGCAGAAGCAGAGTGTGAATGAGAGAATGTGAAAAGAACAACAAAAGCTGCGGGACAGGGTGGGTTTAGCCACTGCAAATTAATTTCTTCATTCTGGCTATAATAATGATCCAATCGGATCCCAATTTGGTGATCTGATAGATATGCCCATTCCCTACGGAATGGCGTTTTTAGTTTTCTTTTATCTTCAAAACTGTAGGTTTGGGAGGTTTTCGCCCTTTTGCGGAGGCGGAACACTGGTTTCAGTGTGAGCATACGGACTGCTGTCTTTGACTGCCAAAATTTGGTGGCTCTAGCTTTTATAGTCTCTAAGAACTAGCCGACAAACAAGACGGACGGATGGACAGAGAGACATGGATCTATCGACTCGGCTATTGATGCTGATCAAGAATATATATACTTTTTGGGGTCGGAAACGTTTCCTTCTGTGCGTTACATACAACCGGTATTCACACAAATGCAATATACCCTATTTACTCTTCGAGTACCGGGTATAATAATAGTGTATTAAAATGCAATTAGACGTTATTTTGCATTTAATATTAATGTAAAGCAGCTGTGTATTCGCTTTCTCAACCTCGGATCAGTCCAAAAACAACAATAGCAACAAAAAGCAACCCTTGTCCGCGAGAGTCTTGTCGATCCTGAGCTTCGGTTACAAGTCTCGGTTGCGCACAGGTGGTGTATTTTGTTTTTGCATTCTCGTGGCCGAGATTCTAGCACACAGCTGCTTCCAGACACCACGTGTCTTTTGTTATTGGATTCTAGGGCATTGATCTCTATCCACATTCTTCTTTCATTTCAGAAAACCACAAACAGATCACAATCATCCCAAAGGACGCAGCTCAAAAGCTCTTAGATAAACGTATTTAATTGATCGCCAGTCAGTTCGATCAGGTCGAACCTACTGTAAGTAGAACACCATGTGTAAGCAACAAGAGATGAATATGAGGTTGCAATCGCCTCAACAAAATGGATACAATAATGGTACCCAAACGCTATATAAAATCGACTGATACAAATTCCAAGAGGGTACACTGTCACGACCCACAAAAATAATGTCATAAATCAATATTCAAAAGATATGTAACCAATTGTAGGGCCACCATGTAGGCCGATATTGAATGTATTCGCAATCTATATAACCTTACTTAAAGCATCAATAACTTAGGGAAATGAAAATGCATATAAGTGGGCGCCCCCAACAAGGGCGTTTCAATAATCAAAATATTTAGTACATAAGATGTTATACAATTAAAATAACTTGATAGGTTCCGAACCCGAACACTTAGGTAGGGCCACAAAACGGAAGACAGCTCAAGGAATTATTCGCTCGCAAACTAACCTTTTGACTTTGATCCCCCAACGAGTGTCCCACATTGGGCTTATCCGCTCTATCCGGGGATGTGCGTCCGTTTTAATGCAACCCAAAAATCCAATTCAAATCAAAATTATCCGAGTCTATGTTGAATCTGGGTGTCTGAACTTGTACGCGTGCGCGATGCTCAACGGTGAATGGAGGCCAGGGTCCGGACCCTTGCCGTTATCGCGTTCTTCGAGCTGCACGACATGCGGCTGTCGCCCCTCGCGCCGGTTGGGCGGGTGGTGGGTAACGATTTTAGCGTTACACGTTGGGAATGCGTTCGCAAGAAATGAATTCGTGTCTGATTTTTGAAGAGAGCTTTCCCTAATCAGAACTGTATATAAAATCTGTTATTCATTGCAGTTGATCGTCACTGGCATGTTGCATGTTTTTGTGCATGTCTCTGATTATTTTCATTATAATTTCATGTAATATATTTGATGTAAATATTTGATCAGCATTTGGTCAGTTTTAAGTGTTTCTGAGATCAAGATTCTTTAGCATTGCTTTAAATATTCTACAAGAATTCCCAGCCCCGCAACGAAGATATTTACAGACACTCCATTCCTGTTTCGCAATCAGAAAATGTTCAAAAATATTTCAAGTTTCAAATATTCTTGGTAATATTTCATTGGTTGACTTTTGCTCATTGGAAATGAAAACCGTTACCCTTACCCTGCCGAACCTTCGCGCAGACCTTGTTAACGCTTCTGGCGCTGCTGTCGACAGTGTCCAACCAAGAAATGCATATTTAGTCAAGTGTTAATAATGTGGCCGCATGGGGGATTGCCGCCAGGGACCATGGACCCCCCGAGGAAAGGTGCAAGCGTGCGTTAAGCCGAAGGGAAGGCCCAAGGAAAAGCCCCACGCACAGGAGATACTACACTTGCAGCCGCAGACGCAGCCGGGGCAAACAAACAAATGGCTCAGCCAAAAGTGGGCGGAGGGAGGGTAAAGCAAAACAACAGAAAGGAAAAATGAAAGTGAGGAAAAAATAAGAAAAACTTGCCTGACTCTGTCCCAGTCCCTGTCTCTGTCCCAGACCCGTTCCTCGTTCATCCTTCGCTGTCCATAGTGCTCCGAGTTCTGTTGGTGCCGCCTGGGGGTGTGGGAAAAGAAATAAATAAAAACAAAAAATTCAAATAAAAAGTAGAAAGAAATGCATAACTAAACATTGGGCCAAAGCTGCAAGTTAGGGGTGCGCTGTGCTGTGCTGTTAATTTTGTTATTCAAAATATACCCAGGACAGGAGTACATCTCCACCCTCACACCTCCCTTGCGAAATCAGAGATTTTTAAGGAAAGTCGCGACGTTTATTTATTTCCGCATTGCCAAGGCCCTTTCTTTACTTTGCTGTTTCCTGTCTTGAGATTCTTTTGTTACTGTCCATCCACGCCAGGGGAATGGGAGAATTGCTGCACGGGAGTGGATAATGAAGTTCAGACCTTACATAAATACAAACCCCATGCCCAGACCATGCTAGAGATTCTAATTTAGTGGTCTATAATTAAAAGTGAAGCTTTGGCCAATTTGCACACAATATAAAAAATGGCAGAGAGGAAAATGGAGAGGAAAATGCCAATGGCAGTCCCAATTCAGATACAATTCTCCTTTTTGTGCGTCAGGTAGTTTCAACGTCAATTGCCCAACGCTCAAAGAGACGTAAGAAGAGTAGGATCGACCGCACATTGAACGCACTCACACGGAAATTTCAATGACAGGAGCTCCCCGCCCTAACAGGCAGAGGCGTAGACAGACAGAGAGAGAGAGACAAAGGCACTCAAATTGTGAAAAAGAATGCCAAATCAAATACGATTTGCATTGCCAGCAGATATCTTGATATCAATTCTAACTACCTCCCCTTTGCACCCCACAAAGTATCTCCCGAATAGCCCTTGGATAGCCGCAGGACGTTGGCCACCCCACTTGAAAATTTATGTGCTAATTTTAAGGTGCCCAAAAGGGCAGGAGGTGCAGGCATTTTCCTTTTATTTATTTCTTTTTTTCCTCCCAGAGAGCATTTTTCACAAAAACTTTCTCCAGGTGCTGCTGCTGCTGGCAGGGTCAGGCAGGCTGGCAGGCGCCTTTTAGGTGGGTAATAAATGAGCTAATAATAAGTGAAATGTGCTTTTGAGTGACCCTAAACAATGGCTCCGAGAACGGACACTGGGGAGAGACCCCGGACCCCGTGAAAATTGCTGTGAAATTGAGTTTTTGGGCAGCGCTGAAAAATGCGCCAAAGTGTCGTAGACGAAAATTCCGTTGGTGACATGAAAAGATTTGTTTATAATTAATTTGTACCTTTTTTTTAAGCGTACTATTTTTTTTGGAGTGAAAAACATGTGACGCGTTGAGGGAAATTAATTATTTTAATACCTTTGGTCAAGCATATTTTTTCGTTGTTTTGGGAAAAAATAGCAATTAATGAAGGATTTTGTACAGGAATTTTTGGGGAGAAACAGCAGCTAGAAAAGCTAGAGAAATGTATGCAGGACAACGAATATCAAATGCTCTATTTGATGCTTAAACAAGAACTTATCCAGCATTTTCAATATGCATTTGAAACACGAAAAGGCGGCTAAAGTAAGCCTTTCAAATATTCCTCCTTAGTAAAATAGTTCCCCATATCAAAGTAACCTGCTCTTAGTGCTAAAGAGCATAAAGAACACCTCACATTCGACTTCTATGAGTGGCTCAATATGTTGCACGGCTACCAAGGACCCAGAACAAGAGGCAACACGGGCAAAAGCCACAAAACACAAGTGTTGAAGTGTTTTTTTTTGTTGGGGGCAAGAGAAAACAAATGCCAGGGCATACAAAACGTAACAAAAGTGGGGAGAAGAATGTGAGAACAAATGGGGGAAAAAATGTTGTATCCGCTTGTTGCAAAATTCCAATCAATTTTTGTTGTTCTTGAGGACGATGAGGGCGACTCATTTGCCGGAAAATTGAGTGGACATGCATATCCGTAGAGTGACGGAAATGGTCAAGATGCAGGTCCCAACAGGCCATCAATTAGAGTTTTTCTGGCTGCTACTGCTGCTCCTCTTTGGGTCTTCCGGTGGCTGCTCGTCTGTTGGTCCGTGCTTTGTCTTAGGCGACGATGGAGTCGGTGGCTTGTTTGGTTAACAAGATGAAGCTGACAGAGCCGCAGGTTATGTCCAAGGACCCCATCAACGTCATTGAGACGGAGGCCCAGCAACCGAAACAAACAAAAACAAACACAACGGCCAAACAATGCCTGACTGGGGAGAGTCGAGTCTCTGCCTTTGGCTTCAGGAGTAGTATCATCCTCTGGTTTTGCGGCCTAAATGGATTTTTTGCGTTTGCCTAACTGGCAAAAAATAGCCAAAAGATGCGATGGGTGGGGCAGGTCCTTATCCTCCATATGGCATGTTATGATATGTGGAAAAGTCTGCTGTGAATTGAAAATCGAAGTTAATATGCTCTGCAGACTGTGAAACAAATCATTTTCAAGTTGTTAACGGAAATCGACACGTTTTTGCCATTTTATATTTATTATGAGCATTTTTTTTCGACAGCAGATGTTGCCAAAGTGCCAAAGGAGCAAAGGACTTTGAGGAGGGTGTTTCAATGACATGGAACCTCATAATTTGATGATATTTTATGGGCCTGATTTGTACGGGGTATTTCGCCAAATGTATGTTAAATTTAACCCTGACTTATTTCACCACAAAAGTGGCATCCAAATATTCCTATTAGCTATTCCTATAATTATTAAATTGCTGATGCCACATTCATTTTGTGGCGCTGTGGGGGGACTTCAAAAGTACAGCAGACGGCAAGCACTTGAATATGCAAAACAGAGCGCCAAGAAAAAATTCGTTTAGGTAAGCTATTTAACGAGGCGTTAGGGCAGGCTACGACAAAAAAAAAAAAAACAGTCTTATACACAACACATTATGTTTATGCGACACGAAGAGACCCGCCTGTCAGGGGGTGGAGTGCAAGTGGGATGGGCGCCATAAAATTAGTAAGCACGTGGGATACCCATTCTCATTATCATAATATTTCTGATTGCGGGTGGAAAAGCGCAAACGTTGGCAGTTTAGCAGCAGGCAGCATACAGAAGTCCAACAGGATAGGCAATGAGTCCAGAGACGAGACAAAAACTGTAGAATCTGTAGCCTTACTGCATGCATGCGCCTTTTCCCGCCTAATTTATATAAGTAGAGAAAAGTGAATTTAACAGAATTCCAAACACATGTACAACTCACCAATGATCCCCATGTCGCCAATTACTTCCATCGCGACCGTGCCGGCTGTCGTGTGGGGAACCAGGCGCCGACGCAGCCGGCAACACCGGCGCCGGCACCGGCTCTTGCTCCGACGACGACGATTCCGTGGGGACGCTGGCGGCTGTTTCTTCGGCTGCTTTCGATTTGCCGGTGTAGGCATTTGACTGGGCTGTTGCATCCATGACTTAGAACACGACTATAATTAACATTACTAGCTAATTTCAGTTGTTGCATTTAAACTTTAAATTTTATAGTGCTCTTGTTGTTGTATATTTAAGGCAATGCGTCGTTTCGTATCACAACTTGCAGCCGTGCGTCGTGTTTGTACTATTTGGTGCTGAAACCGTTAAATAACCTTAGAGCAATACTACCATTACACTTATGTCCCTTATTTATGTTTAATTTAGAAATATTTCACATCAAAAAAAGCAAAACAACACAAATACGCCCGACCGATTATAATTAAATATTCCAAAATATGGAACCACAGCAAAACCCTCAAAAATATACCAAAATATACCTCCTTATTTTAAAAATATACCGTACAAAAACCGTAATCTATAATAATTTTTGACGATTTTGCTGTTCTATTTAATATTTTCAGATAGTAAGGAGTCTCAGCACTAAAATTGTTATTTTACCAGATTTATCAATAAATTCTCCACAAGATTGATATGTTCCTTGTTCATATGTATACATACATATATCGATCAAGACACATTCTCGTTGAAAATTCACATGTTGCTGATCACTTTTCGCAGCATGCTGCTGGTCCATCCAATTTATGTTGCCAACGGTAAAATACGTAAATCGGGATCATTGCTGCGATCCAAATTCCCATGTTGCAAGAGAAAATATCTATCAAGAGAGAGAAAGAAAACTCCCTTCGGAAAAGAGAGCAACTCCTCGAGGGACTTTTACAAAATATGCATATGGAAGTTTTGATACCCTATATTATTGAATTTACCTTAAAAATTGATTTGAATAGACGAATGAAATTCATCAAATATACCATTACATACCGATCTAGCATAAATATGCGATGAACTCAAATTCGTAGTCAAAATATCATGAGAAGTAATATACCTCAAATGGTCACCCTGAGCTGATTGCTAATCGATAACAGTGTGAGGTACAGAGGGCTGCCACCCCGCTGCATAGTTGGGCGCCAGTTCAAATAATTTCTTTACCATAATCAATGTGCATTGTGATTGTATGTGTGTTTGTACTCTGTCTTGACTTTATGCTAATGTCCCGATGCTTATTCTTTGTAGAAAATGTCCTTTGCTGTGCAACTTTTATTTACTTTTCGCGTCGATTTTTCATTTTTCTTTTACTGTTGTCTCTCTATATTGCTTGTGCGCTTGGGGGGTGTTTCGGGCCCAACTTTTAAATTTCCATAATTATATGCATCAGCTGGCAGGTTGCTTGCTGCCTGTCTGGCGAAACAATAAGGCAGAGGAAACAATGCAAAGAATAAAACGTACCAATCATTTGTGTGTTGTGTGTTTGCTTGTGCATTTATTTTCCTTTTTTCATTTTATGGCAGAATAAACCTGCGTCAAAGTGTAAATATTTGCAGTTTTTATATTATAATCAAAGTGAATAAATAATAAAGCGAGAAATGCGACCAACCAAATTGCGTAAAGTAATTGCGTCTGTTATTTGGGGAGGGGAGTGGGCGGCGATGGACTGTTTTCTTTTCCAGATCGTTTTTTTTTCCACTATTTTGAATTTCGGCTCGTTTGGTAACGCTGTGGAAATATCATGCGTTTTTGGCTGCCCCATGGCACGTGGGGATGTAGCTCAGATGGTAGAGCGCTCGCTTAGCATGTGAGAGGTACGGGGATCGATGCCCCGCATCTCCAGATAGTTAAATTTTCTTTTTGTTTCCTGTTTCCCAATATATTGAAATTGTATTTTAATTTCTTTTGTCTAAATGTCGAGTAACCCAATAATTAATTTTCTTATCATTAATCGCCCTGTGTCATAAATCGCAGTAGAATAAACGGTTCTGTTTATTTACAACCTTCTGATCATCAGCACGTGTGACTTTCTTCATCGCACACAAAAAAGCTCAACAAAAAATATTTCTTATGGGAAAATGGTTAAAAGTAAAAAAAAACTCGGTATTAATCAATTTAGTGTTTTTGTAGTACCAAAATAATTAAAAAAGTACAAAAAAAAGAAAAATAAACCAATTTCTGGAGATGCGGGGCATCGATCCCCGTACCTCTCACATGCTAAGCGAGCGCTCTACCATCTGAGCTACATCCCCATATAACGGCACTTGGTTTCTGCCCTCAAAGGAGTGGTCAATTTGAACCGAATGGCATTTTGCTCTTTAAATAGACGGATCATTTACAATGCATGGCCACTATCTGCCTTTTGGTCAACAAAGCACGTTATTAGCAATCGGAAATTTAATGCAGTGATACAGATGGATGGATTCGATTGTGAAAGTGGCCCCAAGCGTAGTCATTGTTATTCATGATCGGCTGATATTTATTATGCAACGAAGGCCAACATAGTTTGCATTCACCTAAACCCCGCCAAGCTAGTTTGGTCTAATTTTGTAAACGTGTTTTGGTGGATAAATTACCATTTATCATAAAAAATAACGGATGAAATCTTTATATACCCTCTCACTATTAGTTAAGTAATGTGAAAACAAAACAGCTGTGCTTATGAATTAAAATAAGTCAAATTTGTGTGGTTTTAATTTAAAGAATCAGTGCATTTCAGACGTATCGTTAAGTTAGGATACCCCCCCCCCCCCCATGGCTGGGTGTATAGCAATATTCCTAAGTAATACTGCTGGAAGACGAAAAAAAGTTTAGCCGGGCTCAACCGGGATTTGAACCCGGGACCTCTCGCACCCAAAGCGAGAATCATACCCCTAGACCATTGAGCCTCTTGCATTTACGGCGCCCCAATAGTCGGGTTCAGCAACCAATTGCTAGCCAAAATCTATGAATAGTCGAAAAGGTGAAATCTCAATTTGTTATGCACGCAACCAGTTTCGGCATCTTTTGTTTGGCGTTGAAGGTCCCTATTCGAGTAGATAAAGTGCATTTTACAGGTAGAAATGACCACCCTTTGGTGCGTGGAGCCTAACTAGACCCTTGGGCGAGCGGAAGTGCACCTGGGGATGTAGCTCAGATGGTAGAGCGCTCGCTTAGCATGTGAGAGGTACGGGGATCGATGCCCCGCATCTCCAAAGTTGAAATACAATTTTTTTTTCAATAAATGGGTCCTAGGTAGGCAAAGAGATAGGTTGAGTCACTAAGACTATTTTTATATGCGAGTAAGTATCTATAAATCCAGACAAACACAGAAATATTCACCATAAGATCATAAATATCCAAATTAAATAGACATCACGAAAGATTGCAGCATTCCTACAAAAAGTTCTTTAACTCATTCTGGGCTTTGCCGTTCTCATCCCTTTTGCAGACCCATCCATCAGCCTAATGGAATAAGCACACCCCCCAGACCGCATTTCGAGAGTTGCCAACTCTCGTAACCTGCACAAATATTTAATTATTCATAACTTTAAACAATCACGGCGACGTCAGCATCATCCGTGTAACCCCAGGGTCTCGAAACCCACTCCGATGCCACCCGCCGTTTACGACTCAACAAACACAATGCGAAACAGGGATCCTTCTCTCCCCCATTTGCCCCGACCGTTTAGCTGCTGCTGCTGTTGCTGCTGCTGCTGCTGCTACTGCTGGTAATAACATTGTCGTAAAATCATGTTTGGCTTATCGTGGGTCCGGGACCCAGGAACAGGCGCCCAGGACCTTCCAGGATGGTGATCTGGAGCGGGGTGGAGTCGCGTCTCGTGCGCGCTGCATTTAAATGCCGTCGAGAAACGGCGTGAATTATAGTGGCGTAGGTTAAATGCCGTTAGACAGCCGCATAAACTACCCGAACCCTTTTGCATTTTTGACATGAAATCCCATCTAACTTTTTCCCAGATACATTTCAAATACGAGTGTATCTCTGTGTGTGTAAAAAGTTGCCGGCGTCTGCTTTTAATTTTTGTGAAATTATTTGCATTCTCTGCTTGCACACAAAACTAAAACCAAGACAAGAAAACTTGTCCTGACATCCTTGTGGCGGCTCCCAGTCTCAATCCCAGCCACTGGTATTGGCTCTCCTCTTGTTTTCTTGTAATTATCGCTTTTGTTTGTTGGGCTGAAACTTTTGCCAGGTTTTGGCCAGCGGCTAAAACACAAAATTAGCGCTCACCAAAATGACTAAACAATATTTACTATTCCAGGATGCGGGTGCGGTGCTGGCACTTGGCTCCAGAACTGGGTCCGTCTCAAGACGCTGCCAAGTAGCAGGCAACATATTGTCGTTGCACGCTCAACAACATAATTTTCTAATTGGACAAAGTTGCTGCCAAGTTTTCGAGCCAGAGGACCAAGGAAAACATTTGTTCTCACTTTTTGGTTTTGCTAATTCAATTTTAATGCTTGATTTCATATTAATTGAAAACCGACTTTTGAAAGGATCGTCGGCTGTTCTGGGGGCTGCCCTGTGGGTTGAAGGAAATTGAGACTTGTTTGTCATGTGAGGAATGTAATGAATCGAGGAGGACCAAAGGGATCTACAGGGGATGTGCCTACATGCCAATGATCAATATTTATCGGATGAAAGTAAGGATAAGTGAAGGCAGATAGATAGGAAATAGAAGCAGATAGGAAATATAGTTTGAACGATGTACAGACAGTGAGCAATCGATATTTTATTCCCCTGCCAAGCTGAGAGTATATCCAGAATAGACCTTAGAGTCGCCACTTGTCTGGTCTAGTTTATAATCCACCTATTTACATACTGAACTCAAAGCCTCGGCAACCCCTCCAGTGGCGCAGCAAAATCCATTGAACTCATTGAAGCGGAGAACATCCGAAAGAAAGAAGGAAAAGTTGTACGAGTATTTACCCAAAGGCTTCTTAAGCCATTCGAAGGCGTTCATAACAGATGACCTCATATTCGTGGCTCCCCTCCGAAACGTTACACATCCTTGCCACAGGACAAGTTTGATTTCCAAGATGTTCTTGTTTTTTCTGGAGTCTCCTCTCTTTCTTTTTATGGCAGCGCACAAAAGCCAAAAGGCAAACACACTCGAGTCATAAAAAGATGCCTGCAGACAAACAAAGCGGCACACGAGCCATAGACCAAAAGGCCAACATAAAGATCAAATGTCAATACAGGGCCAGGGGGTGGAGCAGCACGGGCGGCACGGACAGGGGGTAACACGCTAAACGTGGCCATAAAGCAGTCAGAGCAAGGAAAGACAAACAGCAGCTACAGCGACAGGAAAATGTACAACAAATTTCTAAACGTTGTCATAAAAATTGAATGGAAAACAAGCAGAAGGCGGGCGGACGGTCAGCGAGGAGGGACGACACGGAACGGTTAGTATTACTCCAGTAAAACTTAAGAC